ACACGCAGTGTGATCGTGTGCTGTTGTGCGTCTGGCGTTTCTTCTATCCGTTACTCTTATTCGTTAAGCATGCTGAGGTTGTTTTTCGGCTTGTTCTTTCTGTTGTTCTTCACATTCTCCTTCTAATTTTCCTTTTTGCGAGCCACGAAATAAATTGCCATTGTTATACTCTTGGGTTTTTTTTTGTTCCCTTCCATAGATTACGGTTGCTGCTTTTTTTTCCACTCTGTAACCCAGTCAGCGACGAGCCACCACCTCCAACTGTGGAAAATGTAAGAAATATATAACAACCAATCTAAATGATGCCAAAAAAGAACGCAGAGAGAGGCAGCAAAGAAAGAAAACGTAGAAAAAGTGTTAAAAATGTTGAATGGCACCCGTAGTCATGAAAATCGGTTCAGAATTGGTGTAACGCTCGTGCAAAGGCAATCAGACGGCGAACGGAAAAAAAATACATACATTAGACAGCATCATGACACATTTTGTTCATGTGATACCGAACACAAAAAAAAATCTGTATCGATATCAAGCCATGGGGACGTAGTGCATTGAAAGTGAGTAAAAAAGCGAATCCGGAGAAATTCAAAAGAAAAAAAAGAGAAAGAGATGGAGCGAGGCAGAGAAAGAGATCGAAAAAAGTAGCACCATTAGGCTTATGGATGACGATTATTTGTGATTTTTATTAGCAGTGAGCAATGTAAAAACATCTGCACGTCATATAAGCGCAACATTTTGTTCCGAACATATCGTGAACTCATTCCTATCGTCTCCACAAATTTATGGATGCAAAGGATAGAATTCGGATGGCAAAAGAAAATTCATTCTCAATGCTCAAAACGCTTGAATGCTTCGATGGCATTGTTTGTATTTTGGTTTTTTCGGGCCGCATTTGTACCAAATAGAAATATTACGATTTCTATCGATTTTCAACCGCTTCCATACACTTATACGATTTGGCATACCGCTAAATCAAAGGTTAATCCAGATGCGAATCATGGCTGAATCATCATCGTACCTTTCCCATTAAAATTATGAATTGATGAAATCGTCACAATCAATCATATGTGCCTGCGAATCAATATTGCGTCAAACCGACAATCCGAAAGGTGAAAGAGAAACGTGGGTGGAAAAAAAATGTCTCGAATGCCTGCAACGGTTGGCTTTATATATGAGACGAAACACGTGCTGCACACACAGACACACATAGCGTTCAGTCATCGAAAGATGGTTTGAAAATCGAACGCTTGAATTCAAAATGAAGACTTACTGAAGCAAAAGTAATGCGGCTGCATAAATATGGATATTTTGAATAATAAATGCACAATTGTGCACAAGACCTTCATGCTTACTGCTTAAAAATGCATAAAATATGTACTGACAGTTTTATGAATAATGTTCATAACGTACAAAACTATTCAAAATGCATTTTATTGTGCTGCAATCTAAAAGCGTTCTTCTCCCATCGTTCTGCGATGAAATCGCATTCTGTGAGCAGAATGGTTGAAGCGACTAAATGCGCGAACAAATGAGCGCTCGCAGGCGCGCGCGCGCGCACGCTCCATCACAATTTTATGAATTCACAGCCAAATTGGCCTTGCATACACTATGAAGAGCAGCACAAGAAGTGTGTGGTGAATGCTACAAAATTCCAAACGAAAAATTGTCAAAACGAAAAATTGCATATGTGTACCCTAGAACAGTATTTTCCACATATAATTTCATTGTTTGCTGTTGCCCCTATTCGACAAACGGCAACCGAAGCAGTAACGACGTGTTGATTTTTTGAATTTATTTACATTTCGTTTTTGCTGTTGCTGTGGCTGCTATTGTTGTTGTTCTCTTTCGCAAACCGCAAAAATGGAAGAAAGCGTATTATTACGAGAAAATTATCTCATTTTACACAGTGTAACCATGGGGAAGGCAAAAAACGAACGAATGAAACTCAGTCTTATTTATGATGTGCATCGCATGGAATTTACTTAAGCGACTCGGTGGGATACGAATTATAACGGCTCGTAACATAAATTAAATCTATTATTGCACTGATATTCATGTACGAGCTGCAATACACAGAGAACGAGTCGTCCTGCTTTTTTTTCTGCCAAGAATATATATACATATTCAATGAATCTGAGTTTCTTAAGGTTTTGAGAGAAACAATTGTGCTCATTGCACTACGCGCTCAACTAACTTAATTGTGTGCATATTTTAATTAAAAGTGGGGCGAAAGACAGAGAAATAAAAATCACTTTGCAACTTTTTTTGCGGTAACGTTCTAATGTAATAAATGGAAATGCAGCAAATGCTACCGCTGTGGTTAAAGAGCACCGTCACTTCTTTTGCTCTAGCCGAATTGCACCATTCAAGTGAATAAATACAAAGGAAGAAAATAGCAGTGAAAAAAATTCCGTCGTGCGTTCATTTCTTTTGCAATGTCACATACGCATTTCCAAGTGTTCACCATTGGCTTTTATCTGAAAATTTAATCGCGCGAACTTATTTCAACTGCATAATTCATTTTTACAAACACATCACGCCCGTATCTCCGGTTTCGAAGCGTACCAACAGAAAAAAAGGCAATAACTGTTTTCTCACTGCTAATCAATCTGATCAAATCTTTAATGGCACATTTATTTTGTTGTGATTTCTTTCGAGTAGAGCTCAAAATGTGTTTTTCCTTTTCGTCTTTACAACGACGATGAATTGATGGATAGATTGTACGATACTCTACTCGTGTTGACGTCGATTCCATTTAAATTAATGACCCCGATATAAACCGATCTCGTCATCTATCTCCTTTTCCAATACAATTTGCATTAATTTTGCCTGTTTGTCTTCAACGATTGCATTTTGTCAGTTAAAGCGGCCTTTGATGACAATTGGGAGTGTTTTCTAATCGAATTTACATATTGAGTTAAACGGTTATTTCGATTTGGAGCCACATTTCGCAGTCAATACACATAAATCGGAGCGTCTAAATTGTGTTTGTATCATTTTATTCCTCTCTTTTTCTTTCATGTCTCAATTTTATTCGAGAAAAAACTGAAACTCTCCGAGTGAAAATTGCCATCGTTTTCGATCCAGTCAGTGAAAAACGTGCTCAATGAATTTCAATTCCGTACGCAATTTTGTTTTTTTTCTCTCCTCTCCCCCCCCCCCCCCCCCCCCCCCCCCTCTCTCTCTCTCTCTCTCTCTCGTTTTGTGGGTATAAAATCGGGTTTATTTGCGGCAATTTTCAATGCATCTAAATAAAATCAAATTCATGAGATGATTTCGGCCAGTCAGGAAACAAATTAAGTTTTCTTTTCACTTGTGAATTTATGCAATTCAAAGTATTGCACATCGTTTTGAAGCACCCGACCGATGAACGGAAACAGCTCGGAAATCAAATAAGATGGAGAAAAGTGGCAAGTGTGCCTGCAAGTGGCCTGCGAGCGTGCGTGCGTGCGTGTGTGGCAGAGGATGTGTGTATTTTTTATGATGTCGAAAATAAAGTGAGAGGCAACAGCCTATTTATCAATAACTTAGAGAGCGGCTTAGACATGGAACTAAGAAAACATTAGCAGCACATTTTCATAATTTATGAACATTTGTGCGCAGTGGCTCACATGGACTTAAATAAACCCACCATGTGTACACATGGTTGGAAAATTTAGTGAAGATAAAAAATATATCAACACACATGGTAGCAGAGGCCCAGACCTTAATGTCAAAGAAGCTTCGAGGCAAATTTATAATATTTATTTCGATCAGCACATATATTTTAAGCGTGCAGGCTTTTTTTCCTTGGGATTATTCATGGTGTTTCTATTTTGGTAAAGCGGAAATAAATGAAACGACAACATCAGTGATGTTACATCACACCATCCGTGCATCCAATGGTATTCAAACATGAAGAAAAAAATATTTGTGTTTGTCTAGCTGAATGCCATTTTGGGGATAAAAATTGTCTTCCAATAAAACCATTAAGTTAATCGAACCCATAGGCTCATTTCGTTTATCGGTTCTTCAGACTTTGATTCAGAGCTTTAAATCTGATTGGAGTCGAGGATGAAATTCATTTGGGAATAAAAATGGCCTCTTACTAATGTTTATTAGCTTTATTCTTTTCTTCAAATAAAAATAGAAGGACGACATCAATATCAATATCAATCGAATCGGTTCATATTAATATTCAATTCCATGGTGTTTTTCTGTTCTGTGCTATGTGACAATAACGAGAATAGAGACAGAGTTTACCAACTTGAAGTTGGTTAGATTTCATTGTTACCCAAATTTGGATTTATATCAAGTGCAGAAAAAACCGCTCCATTGAAGCCATCGATTTATCTTTAACAGCTCATTCAATATAACACTAATAAATACTATATGTTTTTCTCTTGCAGTCACTAGTAGATTTGGAAATGGTGCTGTACTTCACAGACATTATTTCGAAGTCGGCTCAATATTGTCACTCAAACGAAGAAAAAATGTTGGATTGCTGATCAAAATTTTGTTTAAAGATAAACCAAATCAAATCATTTGTTTTGATATAAGAAGTGCCCGAAATGAATCATAAACATACGAAACGGGTATAATTACCTAATCTTTTTCTGTGCTAAACATTATTCATACAACTATGGATGGTAAAATTATAGAAATTACAATTGGTTTTTTTATTGTTATTGAATGGGTGAGAAGTCATATTTTTTATTGAAAATTTTTCATTTTGAAAAATAAGCATGCATTACTAATTGATGTAATCTGTTGCTAATTTCACACTTCAAGCGACATTTAAGTGTCAAAATAATGAACCGCTCACATTTAACTACGCACCGAAATAAGTTCAGCGAATATTCAATATATTTAACAAAATTTGAACATGAGCTCCGAAACCAAACCATTTTTTGGTTCTAAAATAAAAATCTGGGCTTCGTTTGAATGGAAATATCAATGCAAATTGCAAAATCCACCAATAAGTTCGAAATCGTGAAGACTTAGCTGAACAATAACAACAAAAATTTTCGAACATGCCTTTGATTTATTTGGTTTTTTTGTCGAACTTTACTACAAAGTATATATTCTTTTTATTTTAATCGCACACAAACAATTACGTTCTCTTACTAGATTGATTAACAATATTCTTAAGCTGTGTATCTAAATATTGAACTCGCTTCAAAACTTTATCGCTCGTACTGAATTCAGTGTGTGGAATTTGTAAAACAGTATAACCGATTTTTGCTAATAGTTTGAAAGCTAACGCATTATAACCGTTTGGATCATTTTTACACCCTTTGCACATATCATGATAGTCCAATACCATAAGAGCCACTCTGAAACCAGAATAAGATATCGTTATTTTATTGCTGAGTGAATGCAATTTGGTTTTTTTTCGGATTTCAATAGAATACCTGAATGCATCCTTATGGGTTGATTCAACTGCCAGTGGCATTCGATTTTTATTCAGTACACACTCCGCGTCTGAAAATTAAACGTTCCATTTAGTGAATATGCTATGTGGATTGCATTAGTTTAAACATTTACCAATGACAAAGCCCAACTTTGTGTTGTGTTCGGTTCGGATGTAAGAATCTGTGGTAAATAGATTCTTTAGTGTGTCGAGCAGGCCTTGAATCAGAATTTTTTTGCTTTTTCGATATCCCAGCGGACAGTTATTGACTGTTGAGTCTGATTTTAGGAACGGACCATCGTAGTTCGATGTTAGATACTTTGCTACCGCATTAATGTTCAACAGTTTCATTTTTTGTGATGGCAAAATATCATTCAATTCTTGCTCAAGTGTCAGTTTCTCCAAGAACTCTGGCCTGTTAGAAACAACAACAAAAATTTATGTATTTGAGAAAAATATTTCGAATGTGAATGATGTGGCCGCATTTACCGAAGTATTGACTCCAAATGAGTTGACTGGTGCAATTCGAGGACAGATAGTGCCCACACATAATCCAACCATTCATTGGCCGATAAATCGTCTCGAGTGATTTTCGGTAAGAGTTTCGTTGTTATCTCGTCAAAGTTTTTCGGCCGATAATTCACAAGAGCTAAGGTCAACAATAATGATGCCAAATCCTTTGATCGACAAAGTTCTTGTTTATTGATCACCCATTCAGTTAGATTGTCCAATAGGGCGGGCTCTTTGTATTTTAAAAATCCCAAACTGGTTACAATCGAACCGACCACAGCCGTTTTATCCAAATTCTTGGGTAGACCACGATTTATGTCCATGCTAATGCGACACAGTAGCATTTCATCGATGAAATTCAAACTCGTCATAGCAAACAAAATATCCGAGCATTCTTTCAAGTTCAGTTTACCGGTATGTCCACTAATTGTCGACGCCAATGTCTTTAATACTTCAATGCTTCGCGTCTTTTTCCGGGCCAATGACGCAAACACTTTGACTTTTTGCGGCAACGAAAGAGTTTCAACAATTTTCGACGCCTCGTCATCGCCAGCGATACTCAAGACCATCTCTAATTCGGCTGATTTCTGTTGATGATTTTGAACCAAATTTTCTACATCTTGTTTCGTTGACGCTTTATTGGACGACAGTTTTCGACACACTTTCAAAAATCGGTAATCATTTTCGAATTCTTTTACATTTGCCTGGCTGGATGCAGTCCAAACGGATAATTTGGTTAAAACTGACATTGCATTGTCGCGAGTCAAATCATTTTCAGACAAATTAAGCAATTCCGTGACAGTTGTTGCATTTGAAATGCTTGAAGATAAACTTACAGCTGATTTTCCAGCCTCAAATTTTGACACTGATGATGGTTTCCTTGTTGGATTGGATCGGGTAACGGTTTGCTCTTTACCTGCTGGTGGATGATCCAATGATTTCAGCTTCTCAAAAACTAAAACGAAACAGCAACAATCATTCCAAAATGATTTATTAAATAAGGCCAAACAGCATCAAACTAAACACATTTTGGATACTTACGATCTAACGATCTGGATGGTTTGCTTTGAGTTTGTTTGGCAGTGTTTTGCGTTTTGTCAGCTATTTCTGATTTCTCCGTAACGGTCGCACTACTGAAACCACGCAAAGAAGCCACCCTTAGCCTTAGATTTCGCGTTAAAAACTGCATGGACATCATCTTATTCGTGTGAATTTCTGTAAATCAATTGCGGTCAAGTTTGTATAATTCTAATTCGGTACGAAACAAAACATAACCAAAAAAAATGACACCGATTTTCGGTACTAAAGTGGCAACAATTCAACACATTTGAACTGTTTACGTAATTTTATTCGATGCATTCAACACTTTTATCCACATAAAATCAATTGTCTCGATTAGATTTTCAATTTTTCTGTTATTTGCTTTTGATTATTCAACTCTCATACCTTATGAAGTCCCTTCAAAGCCAAAAATCAATGGATTTATTTTTTCTATACGTACGACTGTCACATTCGAACAGAACATTGAGAAATGTCAAATGGAACGAACTGTCAAAATGAACTTAAGTACTCACAATATGCACATGCCCTATGATTTGAAATGGTTTTTGTTTTTTTTAATGCATTTTTTTCTCTTCGGAAATATATTTCTTTATTTAATCAACAAGTTTGTTTTATCAACATTTCAAATTAAAAAAAAACGATGTATTTTTAGTTGACGTTATTGGTGATTTGAATGTGTGAACACACTTTGGTAATTTGTAAGTTTTTCTTTCATTGTGTCTCGTCAACGGTTTGGATTCTCTAGACTGAAAATGACCAGAAAAATAGGGCAGTTATTAAATTTGTTTTATCCAAACTTTGTATATTTCATTGTGACTCACCGCAAAATGGAGAGGTCCTTTGCTGGCTTAATCTCCGATGTGTCTTGTGGAGTGAGGAATGTGTACTGAAGTGGCTTCTTTTCGGCTTCGTTCAGCAGTAATTTGGTCATAAACATACGATTGACTTGATCCTGGAAATAAAATGTTTGATTATGTCATATTCGAATGATTTTTCCATTTGAAATTTATCCTAATCAATTGTAATCTTACGGTGAACACATCATATTCATCAAGAAAATAGAACGGGTGATCGACACATGACCACAATGACAACAAGAATGCAACGGTTGTGTATGAACGTTCACCACCAGAGAGATTGGTCGTTTTTGACACAGCGTTTGCACAATCCTTGTCTCTGGGCACCACCTGTATGTCTAATGTACCGGCATCATTATCGAAGTTCAGAGTGCCATCGATGTCTCGTAGTTTCATGATGGCCTGCATTTAGAATTGATATGATTAGATTCGAAAAATGATAAAACGCATCATTCAACCATGAATTACCGTAAAATAGAGAGCTGTGCGTGTGACCATGAATTGTTTCAATTTGGAAACATTCGCCATTCGCATTCTGACCGAACTGTGTATCTGTGAATTGATTCATTTGGTTATTATGTATGAAATTGAATCGGCTATTCTCTGCCACCGTGAAACTTACCATTTTCAATGTTGAACCAAGTATTTTGATCAAATCATCACTTCTAGTCACAATTTCGTCGGCTTCTTGCGCCTGACGTGTTACACTTTCCAGTGATTCATTTGACGTGGACACCGCACTAAATTTGGATTGAAAGTTAGTCAAACTAAATCAATAAAATCGAAAAGGTATAGTTGCTTACTTCAGTTTGAGTTCATTTTTCTTAATCAATTTAGCGAGTTGCTCCTCGGTGTGTTTCACATCAATGCGTGACCCTACTTTTAGAGCAGTTGCCTCTAACCGGCCCAGTTTTTCCCGTAGTTTCTCCAACTCTTTCTCATACTTGATCATGGCTTCGGTGAGATGTTTCTTTTGCTTTTGATGATATGCAATCATTGTGTCTCGTTTCGTCAAATTTTCACTGAGATCGTCTTTGGACTTTTGCTTGGCCTGTATTTCGCTTTCGAAACTTTGTATCTGTCGTCTAATTTCCAAAATTTTCGCTTTGACCTCACGGATTGCAACGTTCAGTTCATCAACTTTGCCTTGTTCCGTTTCATATTCGGTTTGTAGCGATGTCAATATCTTGGATTGTTCGGTTACCTCGTTTTGCATCACTTCAACGTCAGCTTCTTGTGGATATTCGATCGATTCGATTTCGGTAACTTCTAAGTTGAGCATCCTTAGATTAGCATCAACTTCGGCAATGTGTTTGCGCCGTTCATCGCCAAGTTTGATATTTTCTTTGACTTTGCTTTCAATTTGCTGGATTTCAGCTTTGGCTGCATCGATTTTTTCATTAATATCCTGCAAATCGTTTTGATATGCCTTTTCTCGATCGGCAGCATTGACTCGCAAATTACGCGACGGTCTCGATACTTTTGCATACGATCGATATGCTGGCGCTGGGAAATATTCGCTGTACGGTTTGGTCAATATCACTTTGGATAAATTTTGTGGAACATTTTCTTTCTTCGATGTGATATGGGTGGCGTATTCAAAGGACGATGTGAATAGAATGGTTTCGATATTGCAATGATCGATTAAACAGTTCATAGCCACGGGATTGTCAGCTACAATCAAATCCATCAGCCGTGCGGTTTTATCATCTGCCTCAACGCATTTACCAGTTACATTGTACTGGCGACCGATGAATGGAGCGCAAATGATGGGCACATTGAATTGTGGCTGATTCATTTTTCTCAAAACTTCACGAAATGTTGACAAATCGTCTGAATTGTCAACGCAGAATCCCATCAGAATATTGCCCAATGCATCTTCGACATACTGACGATGGCTGGCATTTTTAACCTCAATGTGATTGGCAATCGGTCCGATTGGCATCTTTTTAAACTTGCCCCGCTTAAAGTACTGTTCCAATATTTCGACCAATTTTACCATGTTTTCGCCATACGACCTTAAATTTTCCTTCGGCGACGCGTGCATATGACGCAATCGTGTTTCAACATTTTCTGAAAATATAAATCAAACCACATAGATATCATTGGATAAAGACATTATTATGAAATGTGTATCAATTACTTTTCTCTTCGCTCAGTTTGTTTTGATTCTTTTTAGCCACCTCCAATTGACCTTGGCACTTTGCACGAGTGTTTGCGAAAATCTGAATTGGATGAAAATGGGCAATAATAAATGCGTATTGTGTGGATGATTATATGGATTTCAGGCGATGACCACTTACCTCCAGTTCCCGTCGATGAGTTTTTAGAATCGATTCGAATTCATCTTTTTTCTTATTGAGCTCCTTCAATTTTGCTTCGTTTGCCTGTTTCATCTCGTCGATTTGGTTCTTATTTCTGTGTAAAAGAGTATGGACAAGATGGTTATTTGTTGCACGATCTGTTATCACTTGTCCAACAATCACTCGTTGCATTTCACAGTCGACCAAGTTATTATCATGAGTCAATCATTGAATTAAGTACATCAAACTAAACTAATTTTAGAAATGGACGAATAAAGAAACACGGGACACTTACGAGTTCAACTCTGATTGGATACTATCTTCAAGAGTAGCAATGGTTTCTTGAACTTTGGCCATTTTAGCTTCAAGTTTTTTCACAGTGCGCACATTATCTTCGATCTGTTCATTTGCACGTCTGAAATTGGTTTTTTCGGCGTCCAATTTTCTCTGTTCCGCCACAATCGACTGTTGCAATTGCTCGATTTCTCCGTTCAGTTGAGCATTTTGTTCGTTCATATCACTATCGTTAACATTTAATTTAGCGAGTTCCTGATCAGTTTTATCCTTCTTCTGGCGAGCGTTTTCGAATTCGGTATTTACGTTCTGTATGAATTCTTCTTCATTGACCACAGACAACCATGCTCGTTCGCATTTGTACCGATTCGTTTCTTTCTGTAAACAATCATAATTTTCAATGCAATACACTTCAATCAAATTGATGTGAAAAATCAGGACCAAATATAAAAATTTAGCAATAAAGTATCTCTCGTCAATAGGGAAAACGACGAAAATTTTGCTATAGCGAAATTGATATGCAACTCACTAACTCACTTTCAAAGGTTCCATCGATTTGAATTGGTTGAGTTTCTCGTGAGCCTTTTTCTGTGCTTCCAAGTAGTTGACATGTTGTCTCTGTTGTGACTTGAATTTGGCCTTGGCTGTGTTCACTTGTTGCAAGCAACCGTCCAATTTCTCGATAATGACATCCAACTGCGTTGCTTTCAAAAACAATTCGTATCTTTTTTTCGGGTTGGAGCTATGATCAAAATTAATTCGATACAAAATGTAATGAGTTACATGCGATACAATTAAAACCAAACACAAAATATGCTTACTCTCGCAAGAAGCCGCGTGACGCATCTTGTGTCATAACACATACGGGATTGTCCACTTGAATGTTCATGTACAAAATCAATTTCAACAGATCGGCACGACTGGTGGAAATCACGGAGCCCGATGCGCTTTTCAATTTGTACGTCGATGAACCCGATGCTGCAATTTGACGCACCACAACGATGCGGCTACCATACTTTTCGTATTCATACGCATCGGAACCATCATTAGAAATATGCACTTCAATTGTTGCCGATGATTCACCTGATTTGATCAATTCTGTAGAGTGGATGACGATAAGATAAAAAAAAATTGCCATGAACTTGTCATCGTGTGTCGTGCAAAAAATCAAATATAGAATCAAAGAAAGAATGTGTTTAGGTTACCTTTGATACTACTACTGCGATTGGTAGCGTTTGCTTTGCTACCCAAACCGATGATAAGTGCCGTTAGGATAGCACTTTTGCCGCTGCCATTTTGACCAATGAGTAAATTTGTTCGTGCATTGAAATCGACGGTGAGATTTGCATGGCACATGAAATTACGCAGCTTGACCGTCAGAATTTTGCCACTACGTGTACTTAAATCTAATGCTGAATTGAAATCAGACGACAAATTTACACCTGAGCTGTTTGCTCCCTCATCCTAATAGAAAACAATTCGAAATCGTAGCGTGTGATTTACTGCTAAACAGTTCGTCGAAAGAAAAAAATGCTTCATTTTTATTCTTACCTCATCACTGGAGTCATTGTTATTTTGTTGTGTACTTTTTCGATTGCGCTTTGGCTGGTCGTGGCTTTGACTTCCTGTCGATTTACGTTTTCCCATTGTTGTTTCAAATCACTTTAGTCACTTATTTGAAATCATTGAGTTGTTTTTCCAGGCACAAACATGTTCGAACTGTGATATTGCTTCGCTTGAAATGGAGGGAATTTCACAACGATTCGTTTACTAACAGATCGACAAACCAATGACATTCAACATTCACCAATACTGTATTATCGACAACAGATGATTTTCTAATTTGAACTCACCGTTTTATTTATGTGAACCAATTTTGTGTTTCGCTTAAATAAATGGATAATTTTATTTCAACTGGTCATTAAATGTCTGAAATGTTTTCTTTTTTCAATTTTAATTTCCTTCCAAGTGTAAATCAACGCAAATGAATTGATTTTGATTGAATTGATTCCATGTTGATTATCATAAGTCTGGTGACAGTTGAATTTCACCTCAAAATTTACTTCGACTTAATGAACGGTTCATCAATCGAAATTTCGGAATTATTATCTGCTCAAATTCATTTTCGGGCAATTTTTTCTCTTCTCACTCATCACATTAACAAAGAGAAAGGAAATAAGAAAATGCTAAAACGTCCAAAGTGCGGTAGCTTAGATGACTGGCGTATTACATTTTAGTACTGCAAACATACAACACACACTGCAACCAATACCAGCGTGTTGGCTCGTGCGTTCAGTTTTTGCGTCAGTGAGTGAGAGAGAGAGAGTGAGAGAGTGAGAGAGTGAGAGGACGGACAGCACACTTGAATACCTGTTAGCACAGCAAACAGAGTAAGCGATGTGATATGTGTGGCTGTATGCTTGCTACACGTACCATTCCGCACACTCACAGACATAGTCTATATTATGTTCCATGGATTCGAAAGAACATTTTGACATTTTTGTCATATTTGCCCAGACAATAATTTCAATAGTATAGGTTGCATTTTGTTTTTTCCTTTTTTTTCCATAGCAATAATTTTTACGATCAGCAAAACGGAATTAAAAACGAAGAAATATCAACAGTTTTTGATCTGAAATTGTGTTGTCTTTCAGTTTGTTTTTCGGTGTGTGCTTTACGATTTGTAATTTCGTCTTGTTTATTTTCTTTTACTTCTGTTCTCGCTCGCTCTCTATTTTTTTTGGAAAGGCGATTTGATTTGCTTTGCATTTCGTATTCAGCTCGATTTGATTTCGATTGTGAATTTTTATGTGTTTGATCTAAGCCATAGTGTATATGAAAAAAGGAAAGAAAGAAAAAGACAAAGTGCTAATGAACCAACGAACGCACGCAGAAACGAGAGAGACATAGACGATAAATATTAGTCGAAAAAATTAATTTTAGTTTTTTTTTTTGATTTGGTCGAACGACAGACAGAAAAATAACAATAAAAAAAAGCGACAAATGAAAACGTAGCAAACAAACAAACAAAAAAAAAAGAAAAGAAAAATAAACCAAGTGCTTTGATCGAATTTTAGAGGACATTTTTTGCTAGATTTTTACACCATTTACCATACGTGCATCAAAATATTTTGTGAAACATTGTTTAGAATAAAGTTTTTTAAAAAGGAAAATCGTGTGTAGTGTTTAGAGACGGCAGAAAGTAGAAGAAACAAATCGAATTCCAGTCAAAAAATACATATATACCCACGATAGAGACAGTGTGCAGTCGAAATTTCTTGTGGAATGAACGGCGTCAATAAAATGAGTTTTTTCTTGTAAGTAACACAAAAGACCAAATATACGTAAACCGTAGTATTGCCTACATAAAAGTGTACACACACTGTGTGGTTACATTGCGATACAAGTTCGTAATTATCGCGTGTGCACCGTGTTCAATACATTGTCGGGCGACGAATGGCTACAACAATACAATACAACAATCGAACCACCGAAACCGTAATCAGCCAAACCAATTTTTTTTTGGTTGTGTTGTGCTACACACACCTCACTTCTTCATTTCTGCATCTTTGGATGTTGAACTATTTTCACAATTGTTGCTACTTCTTTTTTTCTTCGTTCGTTTATTGTGTCGTTTTCGCATGTGTTTGTGTTCGATTGAAGAGTGTATGGCCAACACTGTAAGAAATATCCATTGTTATGCAAATCATACGCACTGCACGCTACTACCGTAAAACAGACCTCATGACAGATTCTCGTGTTGCATACAAAATACCGAAATTACTTTAGCAGCATTTTGGTTTGTTCAATTCAAAGTTCTGAACGCAAACGTTTTTGGTCGGTTCCCGTTGTTTTTGTTCGTTCGCATTTCGTCGATCTCTTCAGAACCGTGTCGTGTCGTGTCTCTTCAGAAAAAAAAAAAACAAATTCATTCGTTGTTGTTGTGTACCGAAAAATTGATTTTCAAACAGTCGACATTCGTCCACATTTAGCAAATAAATAAATGACATCATGAAAAAGATGTGTTTGCGCAGCAGAACATACAAACGAATCTGTATAAATTTCCCTTACTTGAGGATTTTAAACACGATTCGGTAAAAAAACAGATATTTTGTGCTCTGAACGCCGTCATAATAGACATCATTTTTGTTATGCTATGAAATCTATACGGACGACAATTAATCGAATTCTATTTGCTTTCTCTTTTCAGCGGATCAAGGTAAGCCGATCGAATCCAAAGCCAACAGCATCAGCTCTAGAAGTGTCAAGAGGAATAAATATATCGTGAAACTGTTTATTTACAAGTGTATTCACAAGAAAATTACCCAAAAAAAATATTTTCTTTCTTTTCCCTTCAAACAGCCGGTCGAGTAAAACATTTAAGCCGAAGAAAAACATACCGGAAGGCACACATCAATATGACTTAATGAAACATGCAGCGGCCACTTTGGGATCAGGAAATCTACGGAATGCGGTTGCACTTCCAGACGGAGAGGATCTCAATGAATGGGTTGCTGTTAACAGTAAGTGTCATTCAAAATGGGAATTTAAAAAAAAATTGAACAAGAAAATCATATTAACCAAAACCGTTTCGTCTCTTGTTGCAGCTGTCGATTTTTTCAATCAAATAAACATGCTGTATGGAACGATCACGGAGTTCTGTACGGAGGATAGTTGTAGCATTATGTCGGCCGGTCCAAAATACGAGTATCATTGGGCGGATGGTCAAACTGTGAAGAAACCAATCAAATGTAGTGCACCAAAATACATTGACTATTTAATGACATGGGTTCAAGATCAATTGGATGATGAGACGTTGTTTCCATCGAAAATAGGTGTACCGTTTCCGAAAAATTTTCTATCTTGTGCAAAAACTATTCTAAAGCGATTGTTCCGTGTGTATGCTCACATTTACCATCAGCATTTCTCAGAAGTGGTTCGGCTAGGCGAAGAAGCTCATCTCAATACATCGTTTAAGCATTTTATTTTCTTCGTACAAGAATTTAGTCTAATTGATCGAAGAGAATTAGCGCCGTTGCAAGAACTCATTGATAAACTAACGGCTAAAGATAATCGACAAATTTAACACACTCATTTAATTTAACCTTTCAACATGATAATTCTCTGTCTCTCTTTCTGTGGTTTATTTTTTTTTCTTCTGTTCGTTAACGATGCATCAACAATTTTTTTTTTAATGCAGTCTTTTTATTTTCTTTTATCGTATTTTTTTATTGTTTCGCATTTGATGAGGATGATGAAAAAGAAGGGAAAAAAAATTGTTCAACAGCATTACCGTATCTGTTATTAGTAATTCTTTTAAAGTCGAAATACCGAAAGTAAAATCTCAGCTGAACAATTTTTTTCATTATTTTATCTTTATTACTCGTATAGAACTTAAAGAAAGAATAAAGAACAGCACTTGAATCGTATTTGAATTACGTAAATTACAAATTAGTTTAACATTTTAAGTTTACATTGTGCTCATATCGCCATAATAATTTTGAATCATTTTCTGTGTCTTTTTTTTGTGTTTTCCCATGGATTTTGTGATAATTCAGTGCAGACAATGTCAATGAAAAATCGAGATAAATTCAAAATACGACAAGATTTTGTCCAAATACATTCTTCTCATTTGACCATACATTGAAATCTGTATCTTCATTTCGACACTCAATTCACATATATACATTATATATTTGAAAAGTTTGATGGCAGCTCGTTGATTTCATTTGTTTCGTTCGTTTAGAATATTTATGGATTTTCGGTTTGAGGAGAAATTCTTTCTTTTTTTTTTTTAAATTGCATACTATTTTACCAAAACCCTATATAAATTCACAGCAGAGACAAACGTGTAAAACATTTGGAATGAAAATAATTTTATGTATATTAATCACTTTACACGATCACACGATCACTTTTATACCAATATCTCAATATATACACCCACACAAAGAAATGAGTAGCTTAAGGATTAACAATCGGATGACTTATTTTTAATTAAATGCAAGTTTTTTGATGGAAAATTGTGTATAATTTTAAAAAGCAGGCGAACAGTCCAACGATTGAGCTCATTTGAATTTGAAACAGACTAAAACATTTAACACATAGTGATTCGTAAGAGAAAAATCAAAAGATAAACATTTTTTTGTAATTAATCCGAAGGGAAATAAGAAGAAGAATGAAAAGAGGATAAATAATGCAAATAAATTGCTTTTCATGCAACACGAAATTCACTGACACGCAATCGCACACAATTTTGACACATGCGATAATATTTTTTTAAACGAAAAACATAAAAAAAATCCTATGAAAATTTCGAATGAAGCGAGGGAAAAAAAAGAAAACAAACTTCTTTAGAATTATTTCGTTTTTTTTTTAAATTCCCGATGTAAGTTTAAATTATTAAAATTGTAAATTTTTAGATAGCTGCTACAAATCGATTGAAATAAAATCAATCTCAAATGTTCTTTATTTTATTTTGTTCGTTGTTGTTTCAACTCATTTGATTTAATAATGTGATTAGCTTATCTCTTGCGTGCTCAATGCATTCGATTTGATTATAAATTTCTTTGGTTTTTTTCCTTTCTGTTTTGTTCGATTAATATCAATTAGCCAATTTGAGCTACGACTCGTCCAGAGAAGTGGGCATAAGGAAAGCAACAAATCTAAATCTGTGTGCAATTAGCACATACACCACACATTCTATTGGCATGTGAAGCATGAAGTGAAAATAAATCGGTGCTATTCAACTTATCTTTTTTACTTCTTTTCATTTTCTGACGAAATCGTCGTGTGCTGATAACAATTCGATTTATGAATTGATATGACAGGTGGACATTTTTTTTTCTAAAAATTATTTTTCAGACATCACTTCCGTCAATCAGTAGACGGGAATGCTTTAGACCCATAAAAGAGCACTTTTTGCAATTGATGCAGTTTGTTTTTGTTGTGATTTTTTTCTCTCTTTATTTTCTCTTTGGTTCAACTCATTTACCAAATTCAAGAGCATACACTCGCATACCAAAATAATCCATGCACCATGAGCAAACCTTGAACCAATTTTTTTTTTTGGACCGTCACTCGTAACCGTTGAACATTTTTACCATCGATACTTTGCATCAAAATTTAACGGAAGATTTTACGAATTTAAACATACGAAACAAAGAATAAGAAAACAATATCATCTATGAATGACTGATGCAATTCTAAATGTTCTCGATAGATTATTCACTTGTAGAATAAATTACCTAAACTCATAGAAATCACTCTCGAAATGCACTATTTTTCCAATATATATATTATATATTCTATATTCTAAGGGGAAAAAAATTAGAAATCACAAAACAAATAAATAAATTTGAAAATAAAAATTGTATACAATTTTTTTTGTTGGTTTTGATAATTTTTTATTCAACAACACATTTCCCGTACAAATTGATGAGTAAATTTATATAAAAAAAAAATAAAAATGATTTTGTACACAACGTAAACTGACCACCCGAAATGTATTTATTTGCTTTTTTCTTTCGAATGCAAAATTGATGCATCACTCGCGATATGCACCACTATTCGTCGAGAATCATTTTGTATTGCTCTTGTTCGGCAAACCATTTGGCTTTCTCTTGTGTCTTCTGTTTCCAGTGTTTTGATAGTTCTTCATAGCTTGGACCATCGCCTCCAAGGTCTTTTGGCAGTGTAGCTTCGACGGTAGATTGACCTCTGGTCACAAAAACACGATTGCGCAACTTTTTCGACATAAATTTGAGGAATATATCCAATATGAGATTTATGTGCTGTGGAGCATTGACAAACTCTAGTTTCTTCACTTTGCATGAATAATTTTCCCAGCAATGGACAGCCCTGTAGGTTAGAATGAATGAAAAATCGATTATTCTCAGTTATAACCCTATCTATACACATGCTCTCTAATTCTTATCGTTTTGAATTACCTTTTTATAATCGTTGGGGTCATTTGAAGTCCATGACGCCATGTAACGTTTTTCATATCAAAAATCGCCACTGTTCCGTAGATCGAAATTGTCTCATCCAGATAGAGAATGACATCGAGTACCATTTTCATGACCTGCATTAAGTGAATATAAGTTGGTATATCGGTTTATTTTATGTTTGTAAATCGCGCTACAATTTAAAAGTAGTGCATTTATCAATGATGGACTTCGAACCTTTAGTACGTCGTTTTGATCGTGTTTGTGTGTATCATGAACGCCCGTTCGAATAATAAACACTTGATAGTTGTTGACGTCTTTTGTGTGCAGAGGTAAAAATAGTCCAAGATCCAGAAGTTCCTCAAGTTCTGGTTTCATTGGATTGCGATCGGCAAACCATTCGAGACGTTCAGCTCTCATTTGATAAAACCTATTTTGAAAATCCAAATAATTATTTTCGGAAAGAAAATATATGGAAATATGCCAAAACAATATTTTTTTGTTGTTGTAAACTCTATATAAAAAAAAATTTCATGTTGCACATTTCTGAGGGAATTTGTTTGTCGCAACGGTTCATTTGATAATGTATGTGCTTTTGATATTACTTAATCTTAGAATGAAACTCGTTTAAATTTTTCCAGTTTTTGTAAGCACAAAGCCGGTTGTATTATTTTTAGTTGTTACTTACGTTTCAATTCGTTTTTTGGCTTTTTCCATTTGGAATTTGGCACCGCGTAGAAAGTGGATCAACGATGTGATATCGCGATTGGCGTTGATTTTCGGATTTTCGTCGAGCCATTGTTGAATCTCCACCAAACAGCGATCGCGATTCTCTTTTGTTTCGCCCAATGCTTTTTCAGCGTACTCATAGTTATGAGCCGGTAACTTTTCTTCATATTGAGCACCCATTGCAAACTGACACGAACTGACAACAAAGAGCTGTACACTGCCTAGCAAAACTACAAACAAAATAACAAAATAACAACAATTAACTCGTACAGAAACTGTTCTAGTGGCCTTCACAACACAACATCTAATGTTGAAGTCATAGAGCGTAACCAGTGTCATCGTAGCGATAGTCTTGCCCATATATACAAAATGCGTTCAACACACGTACACACCTGCGCATGTAAGTATGTGTGAATGCGTAAATGCATAGTGGTGTGCACATCTAATCGTGCACATATCTGTTGTCAGTCAGCATTCAGATAAACGAAACCAAATACTATAGCTGCTGTCACTGCGGATTTGTTTAGTTTTGTTTGCATTTTGATAAAATTGCTTCGTTTTCTATTCATTGCAGCCATGGGTCCGATTCGAAGTGCATACAATGCAACAAAAATAATCACTAAATCAAATATGCATTTCGAATCTGACAAAATTGTTGGACATTTGAACGATCCATGGTCCAAGTTGGGATTTTGTTTGTATTCTTGCATCCAATTGATTTCATGCCCACAATCAAAAAACAAATGAATTTGTCCGACGATTGAATTCTGTCGTGATGTATTCGTGCATTACAATGGCCTTATCGCATTTTATACGTAATCAATATTTCAAATACAAAACGGATCCGTTTATCAATTGTACGCTCAAAGATTAGCAATAATAAAAAGCACTAATGCCCTAATTTTGTAAACAAAATTCGTTCCAAAAAAATCAAACATTTTCTATGGTTTTATTCATTTTATTGTACGATTATTTTTTTCATTCAAAAAAAAAATATAAACTTTTATTCCAAAATGTAGTAAATGAAACCGAAAGTACAAATATCTTTCAGTATTCAAGTTCATTTGTAGTTGATATCGGTTGAAAAACTCTTGTTAATCCTAATGAAATTTATGTGAAGTCTTTGTAATCAAAGATTCTGGATTTATTTGAACGCCACTCCTAAATGACGCTTAAAAGTCATTTCCCAAGAATTAAAAAAACACAAAAATTACTCCTCGTTGTTTTTGTTCTTGTTTTTCTTCTTCTTCTTCTTTTTCTTTGGCTCGCCATTGAGGGTATCGTCACCATTTTCGTCATCATTGCCGTTTGTTGTGTTCAATGTACCGTTGCCATTCTCAAATGTTTCGTCAGCAGCCTCTGACTTGCGTTTCTTGTCCTTCTTTTTCTTTTTCTTTATTGAAATTTCACCGACTTCTGTTTCAGCCAATGCCATTGCCTCCTCCATAACTTCGACATTCTTTCGTGGAGCTTCGCCTGATTCATAGAACTTCAAGCGATCTTCGACTTGTTGCTTCAAACTGCTTCCGTAAATACTGGTTGGCGTTTCTAAAGAGAGATGAAAAATTGACGTGATTGAAAACAATCAATTAACATCGAAATTGGGAGCAGAAAATAAATCTTGATCGTAATGCCTAAAATCCAATTCAGAACTTTCACTTACCCAAGAAGCAATCAATACGTGATGCAATCGAACATTTATTTGCCAAGAATCTCGAAATGCGTCCCTTATTCTTCAGACCAGCACGACCAATGAATGTGGAATGATAGAGCAAACCATATTTTGGTGTGTTTGTTCGTGATTTCAGTGCACGGAACAGGGCTTTTTCAGCTCCCAAAATCTGAACTGTCGATGCTGGATACTTGGCCAAATTGGTCAAACTGCCGGCATGTGAAATTAAACGAGCTCCAACCTGATCACCAATTAAAACTTGCAAATTTGGTGCGACACTGCTCATTTTGGTGTGCAAATATTCGGCCAAACGTTTTCGGTATTCGGACAAGTTGACAACGCGTGTGGCAAACATTTCAATATTGATCAAATCAACGACGGAAATATCCATACCCATGGACATTTTTGATGCATCAACAATGGCTTTTGCAGCGGCCGTATCCATAAGGATCTCTTCTAATGCATCAACACTCTCATCGTTCAATGTTTTGCGGTCCTTGATAAACTGTGCTACTTTGGCGTATTTGTAATTTTCGGTAACAATTTTAGCCAATTCTGGGAAATGGTACGAATACCTACAGTGCGACAAAATTGATATGTTAAATTCAATACATTGACCATACAATTATGTTCGAATTAGGTGGAAATACAACGGCTAATGAAGCGATTCAACTTACCATTCACGGATTCTCATTGAAAATGTGTTGATATCTTTGTCCAATTGATCGAGCAATGCAATCGATTGAATGATCATGTTGTCGACACGGTTCACATTGAACTTGACTTTAGCACGTGAATAACTGTGACCCAAACCCAATTGTGCCACACCAGCCGATTTATTGGTGAATCCTTTTACCAAATTATGGAAATGGAAACGAACGCCACGCAAAACCTCCGGCACAACACCGATGTGTGTTGTCTTAATACCTAGCGATTCATTGATGGCAGCGCCCAATTTGGCATCAGCAACACCCAATGTTACTTTTTCCTTTGACGTTATGGAACCGTCCAAAAACAAAGCCAAATCCTCCGGTAAAATACCTTCCGAAATGGAGTTGACATTTTCCAATGCTGAAATGGCCGTTTTGAATGGTGAAAATCCAACCAATTTTACCAGCGAATTGAACTTTGCCAAATCGATGACGGACGATTCGAGCTGTGGCAACAATACGGCCACTTCTTCAAATTGTGTCACTTTGAATAGTGCATAGCCAGCTGCATGCTCATAAAGCACTTGTAATTTCGTCTGAAAAAATGCGAATAAACAATCAAAAACCAAATTAAATTCAATGCCTATAACTTAAATGTTTAGTTTATCAATGGAAAACACGTTATCCAAACACATTTTGTGAGGTTAAGTGAGTATATACGATTTTCACATTGATAATAAATTATTCCAAGTATATTTTTATATATCCAAATAGTTTTACGTTTAAAAAAAAAACTTATCGAATCAATGCACTCTTACCATTCTAAACTCGCAATTAATTTGTATTTAAGTGAATTTAAAGTTGTATCTGCCTAGCACGTGTATATCGATACACACGGCAGTAATCACACTCTTCCACACGGTGTAATGTCAAACGAATGTGTGTTGCTTGCAAAACAATGCTCATGTGTTCGATGCGATAGAGACGACGAGCTAAGTGTGATGGCATGTGTTGTTGATTTGACACATGCGAACGGATATGAAAACTCAACGAAACAATTTTGTACTAAAAACATGTAACATCGTTGACATTTCAGAACAAATTCAAACTGAAGTCGTTTTTATGTTTGCAGATGTCTCAGGGAGAAAAGAAAACTCAAACGGCCCAAATATATAGTCAATGAAATGGAAAATTCCAAATATTTTTGAATCAATCATCTTTATTTGAAACGATTTTTTACACAATTTTTTTTATTCTCTTTTTAAAAACATTTCATATTTCTCTTTCAATCTATTTACAATGTTTATAAATTTGTTTTACTTTTTTTGTTGTTGTTGCTATTTTCGTTCATAGATAATAATAATTTTAATTTTCTGCAATTGATTTCTCTCTCTTTCTTTTTTGCTTTTCAAAAACTAAATATGTTTCTTTCTATCGTTTGCCATTTTATTTGTATGTGTTTTACATTTGCTTTTAACAATACTTTTGAATACGATTGTTAGAATAAACAGAAAAATAAATGTTAAAATTGTTAACTGAAAATTAATATGCATAAATTAATTGAAAAGGAATGGACAAAAGTAGAAGAAAGAAGAGGTGGTCATAGAATTATATATAGAAACTAAACGAAAAAAAAATCAAATAAAATAAAGGAAAAAAAATGGGGGAAGATTTATTGCTACGCCTATATTCTACCCATAAACCCTGTGTGATCGGTTGGTTAAATTTAAATAAAAAAATTTGATAGATAAAAGAAAAACGGAAATTGTGTTCACATTGAAACTGAAATGGAGAACAAACAATATAATAGAATTGGTGTGATTTTGCATCGGCATCAATAACAAAATAATAATTCTTTTTTTTTCTTCTTCATAATAAAATGCTTTCAGAGTAAAACAGCTACAGTAGTTATATCAATGTTCTTTGTTGTTGTTTTTTTCTTCTTTAAATAAAACTAATCGTTTGTGTGCATTGTTTCTATTTGCCTGTTTTTGCTAAACTAAATAAGAAATCAAATGAATTACGTATTCGGATTGTGTCGAAAGTCGCTCAATGCGTTGAATGCTTCTTTTAATTTCATTTTCGATTTTTTTTTCTTCTGTAATTCACATTTCGGAATGTTAGTAAATAAACACATCCATCGATATTCGGTGATTATTTTCTTAAGTTTTTGTTTTCGTCGTCATCGTTTTCTATGCAAAAACAAATTTTTGGCGCGTACAACAAGAGAGTGTTTTGTTTTTTGTTTTTGTTTTAATTTTTTTTTCCTAAGTATAAAATTGAATATGTGTGATATACGGCTTTCAATAAAATTGGTTTTTTTGTCCTCGATTTCATTACAAAGCCCAGGCAATTGAATTCTGAGTACAAATCACTACGTATTACGATGTGTGTGTGTGTTTTCATTTCGCATTTCTCGTCAAATTGAAACTTGATTACAAATGAATCCTAGCATTTATCGATTATGTATCATTGAAATGCATTGAATTGATTATTTAGATTGTTTGCATTTGGATTGACCGTTGCCATCAGATTACCGAAGAATGGCTGTTGGTTTGTTGCTTGTTGCACATTACCCGATAGGTTGTTTGGTTGCGTTGGACTGAACATATTGTTCGCTCCACCAAAATTGTTGTTGTTCAAACTATTAAAATTATTGTTTACAGCATTATTGTTGATATGTAACGGTGGTAGTTGTGGTGAAATCATTGGCGGCACCGGCGATTGCTGTTGCTTTACCGGGCTCTGCAATTTTAATTGGTTCATTGACAGTGAAGCGCCCGATGATTTCGATTTCGTTGACAATAAATTATCCAGGTCGATGTCCAACGATGCATTTGACCACGTTTGTCCAACATTTGCCAGCGTTGTTGGCTTCGATTGCATTATATTCTCTACTTGAGCAGTTGATTGTGGCATTAGAATGTTATTGGTCGGCTGCAGAATGTTAGCTGTTAAAAAAAAACAACAGAAAATTTAACATCAAAATCAATCAAAATAATTTATTATTCCTACGAAAACCTAAAATTTTCATTTCTCCAAACAAAGCAATTAGTCATTTGCGTTCAGTTTTAAACAACGAACCCTGTCTTCTTTTAGTACACGCAACAATCACGAGATATTTTCTTTGTGACATTCGTTTAGTTCAGTTGTCATGTACTAAACCCATCTTTTTTTTCGTCAGTGTGACGCCATTTTTGTTTGCATGATTTTTGACAGCTCACACAATTTACGTATATCGTAAGTTGATATACTCTGTTATTGTAATCCGCATACCAAAATTTCTAGTGAAATTTTCAATGAAATTCAGTTTTCTACTCATCAAAACTTCAAAATAGTTTAAAAAATTAGCCAATTTTAATGTTAGAAACACTTTTATTGAATTGAATTTCATGAGATTACCGTAGCCAAACTGTTTTAATAGGTAAAAACGAACAAAATGAGTGGGAAAAAAGAGGCAAAATTAAACAATAAAAAGTTTACGATTGGTTCAGTGCCAATAAATCAACGAAGTCCAAGTTCAAAACACACCAATAAAAACACAGTGACCAACACGAATGGTTTGATGGACGGAAATCCAGTGAAGAAAGTTGAGACCAATGGCCCATTGACAGCAAGTAATAAACCATCACCAACCAAAACTAGTCGACATCAAGTGAGCGCAAACTGGAACAATGTGGCCGGCTCATTAAAATCTCAACGAACTATTCCGTCTGCCAAAAAAATAGGTAATAATCAATCACTTAGCACACGGTGTTTATTGGACAACCTAAAATCATCTTATTTTTCTTCATTTTGTGTGCGTGATTAGGTTTTCTTCCAAAGTCAAGTGCCATTGCATTGGATTGTGAAATGGTTGGAATTGGGCCGAATGGAAAGGATCATATGCTGGCACGCGTTTCAATAGTAAATGAACGTGGTGAAATTATCATGGACGAATATGTTAAACCAACGAAGCCAGTCATTGACTATCGCACACAGTACAGTGGCATTACGCCAATGCACTTAGAAGATGCCGCCAATTTTGCTGATGTACAAGCCGAAGTTAGCCGAATTAAATTCAATCGAATTTTGGTTGGACACGCTTTACACAATGACCTGCGGGTTCTTAAAATGGAACATCCAAAAAGGTAAATTTTGGCAAATTGCCGTCGCTAAATTAAAAACAAAATGGTTCAACTAATGATTTTACATTCGATTTTCCAAACCATTTCAGACTTATACGAGACACATCAACATACAAAAAGTGTAGAGAATTCAGCGAAGGACGAAGCCCTTCATTGCGTTTGTTGGCCAACTGCATTCTAAATTATGACATTCAGACGGGAGCACATTGTTCGGTGGAGGATGCACAGGCGACAATGGCCATTTACAAGAAATTCGCTCGAAGTTGGGAAAAAACAATGCAAAAAACAATGGAAAGATATTTATAATGATAATTTGGATTTGTTATAATAAACCGACAAATAAAAGCAGATTATTTTTTTATTTAAAAAAAAAACTTCGTTTTGTTTATAATTTTCTTGGTTTGAGTTTTATCGTAACAAAAAAAAACGGTTGATCGAAACTTATAGTTTAGCTGGTTATACGTCGGCTGTGAGTGCATCAAGACACAGGGCCAACACATTTTGAGCCATTTGACGGCATTCGACATTCTTTTCTCCTCTGATAATGTTAAACGATAGATATTCCTCCAACCAATCCTTCATCTCAACCAAATATGTGGAAAAATGCAGCTGCAAAAGTGATTTCGGTGTGACCAATAAGGCTGCAGCTAACATCTGTAACACTGCCAATCGTATCTTTGGTTCAGCATGAAAACGTAATGCAAATCCGAGCTGCAACACTTCCGGTGCGATTCGTGAAATGATTGGACAATTTTTTGAGGCAAATGTGACGGTTCCAATCGTTTTCAGTAGATTCAAAAGTAGTATATTATCTGTGTCATCTTTGAGTGCATTGTCCATTCCATGGAATTTCAACTCGTCTCTACCGACTCCATAAAGAAGTGGAAAGAAAAATGAGCCAGCCACTTCTGCAAATTGATTCGGTGTGGCTCCGTCCAAAATGCTTGCTGATGGCTGTGCAAAGCGACGCGTTTTCTTTTCAATACGCTCTTTAACTATTTTCTTGGCCATGATAAGTCGATCATAGGTATCGTCCTCTGGATCGATCAGACTGAGGGAATACATAGTTTTCTTTGGTGCCACAACCTGTTCTGTCTTTTTCGGTGTCGTCAGCTTTGCTAATGTTTTGGCTGACTCGCCTAGAATTTCCAACATCAACACTTTCTTTCCGATCGAATATCGGCCGAGTTCAGCGTGAATTTGTGTGCACAAGAATTCAGCACAACTTTTCGGTTTGATGCAACAAATCGCCACACAGGTGGACATTCTGTGATAGTCAAAGTCGTCCACGGGGAAGCGTTCATCGATCTCGATCAACAGACGCAACAATTCCACGTCAATGTTGGAATCATTATCGGGAAGTCTTTCCTCAACCAATGCGGCACATGAGATCATTGTCTGTTCAAAGACTTCCGGATCCTCGGTCTCGAGCAATGCTTCGCGAACATCATGCAAATAACGTGGTCTTTTCGCTTCCGCTATGGCCGTATCATTTGACATATCGTACGGCTGTAAATCATCGTCATCGTCCGAATCTAAATCATCGTCATCGAATAATTCCGCCTTTGGTGTGGCCAGCACTAGGCCCGTTTTCGATTGACATGGTGCAATGGCGGCAACTTCAATGGCTGCATTTCGTATACTACTTGATGTAGATGGTTTTGCACCAATTTCAACCACTTTTGATTGGCCTTTTCCCTCCTCTGTTTCGCTTTCTTTTGGTATGCCAGAGTAGAGGATATCAATCGATTTTTCGATATCATTTTCGCTTAAATCTTGTTCATCGATTTCGGTTGATTGATGGAATTGCTTGATTTGTTCGACGAGTTGTCGTGCAGCATTGCCAAATCCATCATAATCGAAATGCAATTTTGATTCTTCGGCGTCCTGATTACTGAACTTGTTCAAAACGATTTCAGCGGTTATCATTCCAACGGCACGAACACTCTCATCCAAAATTTCCATATGATTTCGAACGCCATTGTGAATGATCAAGGACACTTTTTCGGTGAATCTCACACTTTGCCGCATTGGAAACAGTTCAGCACCAATCACCAACAGTTTCGTGAAATACAGATGCTGTTCAATGGAATTGGTCTTCAGCGATAGTTTGCTTGACCATTTCTTTGCCACATCCTCCAATACGTTACAGCTTTCTTCAGGTGTCAAGTGCATGGATAGGTACCCAATAAACTTTCGTATGAAGTTGTCATCAACTGTGACGGATGGTGACAGAATCAATTTCGTTTTCAATGTGTATGCCCAATCGTTGGATGTTTTCACGGCATCGCCTAACAAATCAACCGGACTGGCATGGTTCAATATGTACCATGCAACAATGTCAAACGATGACCGATACAATTGTAACATCATTTCATGCAAAGTCTTTTTGAATTGGGCAGACCGTTTGGTTAAAAGTAACATTGCTCGAAATGTTTCCGGCAATACTTTTGATGTTCGATTCAAGTTGAAGTCGACTGCAATGCGACCGAATAATTGACCCAAAAACCGGGTACTAAACAGTGCTTTCTGCTCGGCGTTATTCTTTTCAGCAATAAAACAGAGCGCTTGAATCAGTGCCAACAATAAAACACAGCTAAAGTGCTCGGAATCAAAGAGTCGAGATTGTTTGCCCATGAAGTAATTGGCAATTTTGTTTGGTGCTCCTATCAGCAACTGAGTAAGCTGGTCTCGATTATCACTGTAGTCAAGTGTTTGAGTCCCATTTTCAGCATAAGAAAAATCAATCAACGCAGCCAACAGCCAGGTTTCGTTGCGAAGACACGATTCGAAAATTGCCACCAATTTATCGAATTTGGCATTGTTGTCGCGGGCGAAAATGTTTGAAATGGTTGTCTTCACAAATAAAGCGGAATGATCAATTGAAAACAAGCGCAGCAAATTCGGTTTGATAATATACGATTGATTGTTTGGTGCTTTTTTCATCGGCCATTCATCATCAAACAGCCGAATCAACTCATTTTGAACGTCTGAAAATGCATGATTAGCAATGTATTCCCAGTCAGTGTCATCGATTCGACATAGTTTTTCCGGTGTAACTGGCCCCGGTAAATGCAACAGCAATTGGTCGATAATCGAATTCACGCGATCAACATCATGGATTGAGTGAAGTTTTTCAATCGATTGAAGGCTCTCAACTAGTTCGGCGATTGCATCACAGTGATCGATTGCTGATTTATAATCGGTCGTCGTATCCTTGGTGATATTGGCGTTGTTGTTTTCAGCCGTCGATGAAACTGGAACGGGAAATACACTCATTTTTTCCCTTTTGTTTTTTGTTTTGTTTTGATTTATTTTTTTTTAAGTATTTGAAATGTTCAAAATCTACATTTATCCTCGTTTAATCAAAAAAGAAATTGTTATCAAACTTTTATAGCAAATCGCATGCAATATTCTAATGAGTTTAAATACTGCAACTGTACTGCCTACAGTTCATATACGTATGTCATATCGTCGTGGTATTACTCGCTGAGCTCACACGATGAATTTAATTTAATTGCTGTTTTGTTTTTCTTTAAAGCGTTTCTCTCTTAATATGAAAGCTACACACAATCCGTACGAAGAAAAAAAAAACATACGCATTTGGTAGAACTAAACCGACAAAAGAATCATAATTTATGGCGTTACCGTAAAACTTCTATAATTTATAGCACTAACGAAAATTTTAGCTAAAAAACCAGTTTTTTTTTGTCTGTCTATATAAAGAGTTACCGAAAAAAAACTCGTTTGTGAATCACGACACAATCGAAAAAGATGTTAAATACTTTGTTTGGAGCAAAAATGACCGCGCATTAAAAAAAAAAAGGATAAAAAGGCAAACGCAACGAGAAAGAGAAGGTATAGAAATACGGAAAATGTGGCTAACTTACCAGTTGGTACCGAAACATCCAAACTTAGACCGTCCAAATCAGATAAAAGGTCTCCAACCTTTGGATTGCTGCTATTGGAAGCCGTAATTTGTGCGTTTGGAGTTGAATTGATAGCAAACAGTAAATTGGCCGGATCGTTGCTAGTTGTATTGCTTAATGGTGGTGATGGTTCTGGTTGCTGTTGCTGTTCTGAGTTGAATGCTGAACCGAAGTCCGCAAAATCATTTTTCTTCGGCTCAGTTGGAGCGACGAGTTTTTCTGGTTGCGATTGTGCGGGCGCTGTTGTGCCAAATGCGCTTGCAAAATCTCCAAACTCTTGTGTGTCGTCCGATCGAGGATTGAAGAAATCATCGTCGTCAAGGTTATTGCTTTGTGGAGAAACCGTATCCGAAACCAAGTTATTTGTTGTTGAACATGTTTTGAATAAATCGTCCAAGTCGGAATTTTTTGCGGCCGATGTAGCTGTTACTGTATTGCTTGTTGCAAATAAATCCTCTTCCGAATGAGTGTTTCGATGGGTTGGCGAATTTATACCGAGCTCATCGCGACCGAAATTCGTTGCAGCGCCCATATCAATTCTCTTACTAACTTTTGTCGTTTTTGTCGCTACATTCGATGACAACGATTTCGGATTGACCGTTACATTGATGGTTTGTTTCTTAGGTTCAGAGGGTGTTGTAGCTCGCGGTGCTGTAGTCACCACTGATGCAGGCGGTGCAGGTTCGTTGGTTCTCTCTTTGTCACGGTACCGTCTGTTTAGTAAGAAAAGATCGAATCGAGAAAAAAAAGTTCGTTACACATCGAGTCACATAAAATTGAATAGAATTTAAATATTCATGAGTTTGGTTTTTCGTTGGGTTTTTTTTATTACCTGGTTGATGGTGGATCGGATGAGTCAACATCTGAATCTTCACGTTCACCATCGTAATGATCATCTTCGTATGAATTTTTTCTATCATACTTATGTGACGAATCCCAGTCGTTGTACGCACTACCACCGCCGCTTGAGCTCATCCGCATGCCCATCGCATCTGAGCTCATGCCAATGTATTTGTCCTTATTCTTTTTGGCCTTTTTTCTCTCGTCGCGCAGTTTATCATCGTCCTGTATGAAGTCGATCAATTCGCGAACTTTATGCCGAACATTGATTCCCTGATCTTTGCCATTTTCATCGGTGAATGTGTAATTTTCTAATGAACGTAAGTCGTAAATGTGTTCACGTGACGATGTCACTACTCGTTCTGAACCATTTCTAACTAGATAATTTAGCAGCAATAGACTCTGTATCAAAGAAAAAACACCCAGCATCGAAACGAATTGTTAGCAAATATGTTAGCATATTTTCAACTCGATCTTAATTTGGATCAAAAACACAAAATTGATCATGTCATGATCGAGTGACAATTAGAGCTCACCTTATAAGTACGCCGCCAATTGGTTTTATTGTCTTGGAGCATTCGCTTCCAAAGCATCGACATAACTTCTGGGAAATGTTCATAAGTGAATGTTGAATGAGCTAGCTCTTGCATAAGAGGACCGGTTGGCCCCCATGGCTCATCATTTGTTGCTTCTCTTACTTTTCCCTCGATTTCCGTGTAATTCATAACAACATTGGTTCTGTGAAACAAAATGACACATTTAATAGAACAGATTTTATGGCTTTTATTCAGTTGAAGACGCAGATATTCTCGAAGAATTCAGTTCACTTTGGCGGGATATAGCTTTATCTTGTGTGAGTGATAAGTACAAAATGATAACAAATGCGTTGCTTTTTATCATTTCCATTTTTAAATGACCGACACAAAGAGTTATTGTGAAATGTTTGCTTTTCATTTATTTCATTTTGTGTGTTTGTATGTGACGGACTGAATGTGAGAGAAATTGTATACAATATACACGTTGACTAAATGAATTCACACATTCATTGCATTGCCTATGTGTATATGTATGTTCGTGTGTACATTGCAATCATTGCTTGTCGAATCTTTTAAATGTTCCGCATAGTTCGGGTGCAAATAAAACGCAATAAACACTTGTCAATCTCACTTTCTTGATTGTTATGTGACACTCATTAGCACTTGAATGCAGAATCACGCACACATCTAACTCGGTCAGTCTATGCAATGGCAAATTATGGAATCTATATGCATGCCCATGTTTATCAATCATACCAAAGTGAGATCAATTGATGATGAACACCACGTTGACATGTAATTACCGCTCAATTACCGGAAAACAATTAACATTTCAGTCAATATGCTAATCATCTAATTGAATTAGAATGCAAAAAGATGCTGTAGAAGAAGGAAAAAACGCATTACAAACATGTTGCATTTAAACGAGAAAAGAACTGTCAGTTCTCAGAAGGTGTGTGTGTCTACACAACCGAAGAGAATCGAAATGAATTGCAATGGCACAAAATTATCATTCCTTCTTTTTTTGGTGTGTGCTGTGAGATGCAAAATTGAATGTTCGACATTTTTCAAACAAAAGTTAAATTTCATTCACATCATTTGTCCATGGGTTTGAATGATACACGTCTTGTGTAACCGATTGTTTCGACACAATGGTGATGACAAATACAAGGTAATTAGATTGTAGCCACAAGAGAACCAGATTTAATTTGATTTAATAAGGTAATACACAGATAAATTTAAATGAAATTTTTGCACGTAACACTTACACTTTGTCGGCGATTTCACGCACTTTCCACATACTTATAAATTTATCAACCATTTTTGAACAATTATTCGCTTCGGTATAATAACAGAAAGAAATGAAATCTTAATCACTTTTGCTTCTCTAAAACTTAATCGTGTGAACTTTTTTTTCTCTCTTTTGCTTTCAATCCGGAAAGTGTGTGTGTGTTTTTAACTTATGCGATGAAAGTAACTAAACAGCACCGTCTTTCCATCGATTTAATAGTTTTCGTAATAAAATAGCAATTTCTATTCGGAAATTTTGCTTTTGACACGGAATTTTATCAGTGTGCTATGTGCACGTACAGGAATTTTTTTTTATTCGATACGATGCACAAAAAATATACAGAATAAATAACTTGGTGATTTGGTCGTTGCAAAGTTGATAAATTGAACGTTGATGGCGCTGCGTTTGCGAATGTATACGTCAAATATGGGCAAACACATCGCTAGTCGTCTCTTTTCCACTCGCACAACATACACGCAAAAGATCCAGCAAAATTGTACCAAAATTGATTGATGGTAAGCATTCGCATTTGCTGTCTCTGTCCGTTGTTCGTTTGGTTTGAAACAGTGTGATGGGTTGACAATTGACATTGGGACAAAGTGTCATAATTCAATGGTACGAAAATAACATGTGTTCATGTTGTTGTGTTTGATTTGAGTTTTGAACGTATTTTACCGCGTTTCAATTTGACTCACATTTATTTTAGCCGTGAAATGAAATACGAATGAAGCAGCATGGAAACGGTTTGCAACGTTTGTGATGGAACTGAATTCACTGTAAATGCTGGATTCTATTATTGCGATAATTGCGGTCAACGAGCCACAGTTCTACAAGAGGTGGAAGATCAAGCCGATGGCCAATTTGATGATATTCAGAAGAAATCGCATAGGATAAAACAGGTCGCACAAACCAAAAGTAAGTAGAATATCGAAATTGATTGCTGGATCATTTTGTAATATACAAATATTGCCGGTTTTAGATACGGAACTGACGTCGTGGGAGACATACAATTATATTCTCTACGGATTTGTTAACGAATTGGTTCAATTAGGATGCAAAGACGAGTTGATATTGACAACCCTACAGTTGTGGTCAGCATACCTACGAAAAAATGAGGTGGCATTTTTTGGGAAGAAAGAAACGAATGTACCAAAATTTCCGTTCAAATTCAGTGCAAGGTAAAGAGTTACAGTCATTTAGCAGTCTTTGAATTTGCTATTTTATCCTTCTGTTCATTCATTCCGTTGCAGAGATGTACGACTGATACACAGTTTGCCGGTGAAAAAGAGACGAGCATCGTCTACGGCAAGTTCAGCCGGATCAAGTGAGAATGTCACTTATCGCCAGTCGAAAATTGCTCTCAGAAAGAAGCAAGTGAGTGACAAAAAAATGCATCCAGAAAGTAGTAACATTGCTAACCACATGTATTTACTTGTACCTTTTCACAAACCAATAGCAATCGTTGGCCACGGCTCAGTACGAAGAATACATTAGTTCACAGAGAACGGATATTAGTTCGGTGGGCTATAATCTGTCGCGACATTCATCAACCGGGCAATCGACCGACAACTCCGATACGACGATTCGAATAAAGTACTCTCGTCGAGCTCGCCGGAAAGTGAACAAGAAGATGGGCAGAGAGCATATAATCGAGCATCAAAATGACATTGGACGCAAGCTGAAGTGCCATAATTTTAAAGATAAAGAGACATTGGGCCGAACTTTTGTGTTTGCCATGCTGTGGCTGGCTCTGAATCAGGTGGGCGATAGTTTGCAAATCAGTGATTTGATTCGATATGCAAAAGAGTCACACATCAAACTCAATAACATTAGTAGCTTTTTGCCGCCAAACATCGATTGCCGCCAGGCGGTGAATCATTTTAAAAAAGGTTCCAATGACAATCTAACCCATGCATTCCTGCGCACCAAAGCACTGACGATCGCACGAGTCATTGGCATTCGAAATGTGATGCAGCCGGATTTGGGAATGTTGTGTGAACGCTACTGCAAGGATTTGTGTCTGCCGCCAGTGATCGCTGAGATGGTGAAACGATTGCTGGCCTTTCATCCGCCTGAAATGAAAATGAGCGAAACCAGCACTTTATCAAGAACCGTACCAAATTATGAGGGTCGTGCTATGGCTTATATCATTTTCATCTTGAAGCTATTCTTCGGTGTGGATGACAAACGAGAAAAATTGATTTCGAATTCGGCACAGGTGATAAACGACAAACTAACGGAAAATGACTCGAAACAGCGGCCGTTGTTTGTCTGGAGCGAATGGGCCGACTACATCGAAATGCGAAATGTTATTCTGTCCCAATGCCATTATCCGACCGCTATGCAAATCGATCCAAACACCAGTATGCACACAGACATGTACATTGATTTCTTGAAGCGCAGCAATGAGGACAGTACGTATCAGAATAACTATCGCAAAGTTGAAATGGAAAATATTCGCTTGATTTTCAGTCAAATTGTACAGCTGCATGAACAACACGATCGGCAAAAGGCTAAACCATCATGTCAGTTTCAGCCATCTCTGACGCCGTTCAGTAGTTACATGGAACAAATTATCGCCGACAGGTCAATCAAATCGAAAGTCTATGTTCCTGAGTTTATGAACATTGACCATGAGAATCGTGATATTTTACCGTATATTAAGCCGAAAAGACTAAGCAAAGTATTCCAGAAGATGAAACATCGATTAGATATTAAGGAAATTGAATTCAATCCAAATCTACGATTTTCGTATGTTCATCATGAGAATACTAAGAACAAAGCAGGAAATGTACAATTCAAATTCGATGTGACGACAGCCGAATGGATCGATTTATTGCAAGAACGCGATGAAAAAAGATGCAAAGCAAAAGAGAAGAAACGAGCCAAAGACAATGAAGAAATCCGGCAAAACATCGTTGAACACTTATCGAATTTGCGAGCTAAACAAGCCGCCAGCGATGCAACTCGGAAGGCAAACCGAACGGACGTTAGAACGATCCAACGGACAAGTGATACAGCCGAGAATCAATCGACTTCTGAAATGTCCGCGTATCACTATTTTGATGAGGAAGAAAAAGATATTATCGATGACATTATGCTGAATGAACCACGGCGTAATTTAGATCAGCAGCCCAATATGCTAGATTATCAGTCAAGCAGTGACGATGACGAAAGCGACGGAGATGAAACAAACAACAATTGCGATTCAGATGCAGACGCAGAGAATGAAGATGCAATTGAATTCGTTATCAGCAATTTTGATTATTGGATTGCAATGCAAAACATTTACCTAATCACGAATGCATCATTCAATAAGAGTGTAAATGAACTGCCGAAAAGTTTCCAATGGCTTCTGAAGCAATGTGCTCTCCAAATTCACATGCACATCAAGGATTTGTACATCGAACTGTTGGCAATCGAAAATCAGTACCGTTACATTCTGAAGCCAATATTCAAAATGGAAAACTACATCAAATATCGAACAAAGTCCAATACCAAATTAGATGACCAAACCATTATTGCCATCAGAAACCTCAGAAGGATTTGGTAGAAATCAGACACACTTGCTTTTGTTGCTTTTGCTGTGAACAAAATGATCTTCATTTTTTGAAACGAATTATGCTTGTGTTTAGAAACGAAGACCAATGAGTAGTTAGATGTTAACGTAAGAATCGAAGTCAATATGCTAATCATTTAATTGAATTAGAATAGAAAAGGATGCAGTAGAAGAAGGGAAAAAAAGCATAACAAACATGTTGCATTAAAATGAGAAAGGAACTGTTCTCAGAAGGCGTGTGTGTCTACACAACTGAAGAGAATCGAAATGAATTGCAATGAAGCAATGTTTACGGGCATAAAATTATCATTTCTTCTTTTTTTTGTGCTGTGAGATGCAAAATTAAATGTTCGACATTTTCCAAACAAAAGGTAAATTTCATCCACATCATTTGTTCATAATATTTGAAAAGGATCTTTACTTGGAAAGCAGAAAAAAAAGACAGAGAAACCAAAAATCATAACACGATTTTGAAAAGGATTAGAAAATAAAGACTGTTGAAAATGTACTTTTCACATTGAATCATAAAATATATCTTTTTTTATCAAAGTTCATGTTTGTGCTTGTATTTTGAAAAACATTTTCTTTTTATTTGATTTTTTTAGTTAGATTTTTTTAGCCATACATGTTACCAACTATATTGCTCGTGATTTATTGAAGTAAAACAATCGCATGGTAAAATGGTTTTTCTCTAGCTCGAAATTTGCACCGATTTTTCCCGAGTATTAACGTACGCAAGTTTGAAAATTCCAGCCCGAGGTAAGATTAATCAATAGGTGAATTTATACGCTTGTTCTTCATACGACGATTTTGAAACCAAACTTTGACCTGGCATTGGAAGAAAATAGTTGATTTTAGTGATATTTTCATTTGAAAAAAAAAAAACTAGTCAATTGATCAGCCTTACTTGGCGTTCGGTTAAATCAAGCGCAACAGCAATTTCATAGCGTCGAAGGCGCGTCAAGTAATTCGACTGATCAAACTCTGCTTCAAGTTCTCTGATTTGTTCCTTTGTGAACGCAGTGCGCTCCTTTCGATATTTCGGAGATGGTTCATCGTTGACACCAGAATCAACCTCAGCTAGAATAGATAGAGTTGGAATAAAAACAAAGATCATTCAATTTAAAATGCAACTAAATGACAAGAATTCAAATTTATTCAATTTTATTCAATTTTATTCAAACATTTGAATAAAACCAGAAATGATTGAAATAACGAAGCAGATTAGGAATGAAAAGAGCTCGTTTATTTTTGTACAACAGATTTTCTTCCGTCAGTTAAACATTTTTATTTGAACAATTATTATTATACAATGAATATTATAAAAGATGACCATAAAATTATACACAAACGAAGAGAAAAAAATGAAAATCACTGGTTTAAATGTAATAATAATTGTATATTTGCTTAATTAAACCATTCAGAATTTCAGTGTGGATCCGATTTTAATGCGCATCTTTTATATAAATTGGATTCGTTGGAATTGTAATTTTTTTTTCTGTACTAAAGCAATCAAACATCGACATTGTTGTAATTTTTTTCTATCAAAAATGGTTAAATATGCTGGCCTATCGTACGTTCTAGTTATCCATTATGTTTTATAAGGTTTATACATAAAAATATCCATCAAAAAGCAACGGTTAAAATGACATATATTTTTCATAACTCCTTTTCAGAATAATTTTATAGGTTTATTTTTGTCTGGTTTTGTGGTGTCGCGCCAAATATGGAGTTGACAAATAATTTCGTTGCAATTATGTTTTAGCATAAAAACAATGAATAAAATAACCTCAAATTAGACAATTGTATTATTGATATTCATTTGTTTTATCCAAATTGAACAGTTCAAAAGTGTTGGTTTATTATTTCACATATATATGATCATAAAACAGATGGAGATCACATATTATTCAATCATCGTTCATGCAATCTCGACTCGACGCGATGTAATATGTGTGTGATGAGGATACAATTAACGTTGGGTTGAAATTCTGGAATTCAATAGTATTTTTTTGTTTCGTTTTAAATCTTGTCGTTCTGGGTTTGGAGATGTTAGATTTGAGCACATGCACAAAAATGGAATAAATGGTCCATAAATTGTGGTATAAGACACTGTTTGCCTCCAAGTCTGCCCACTCCAAAGAAAAATGCTAGCATATACAATTATAATTTATAAAAATGTACAACATGAGTTTGTCTTTTTGGCCGTTTTATAGAATGTCTTGCTTTGAAATGAGAGCTGCTGTGATTTTTCCACTAAATCGTCTAGTTTTTCGCCTCGATCCAGAACCGCTTCGATTGTATTCTTCAAAATGATTTTCGTTTCATCCAAATCGTCTTGAATGCGTGTGAGCGCATCACCTTCGCGTGGATCTTGATATTTGGCCAGGTATGCTGCTAGGGTGCCAAAATCGATTCCAGACTCTGAACTAGTTGCCCACAATTCGGTTGGTATTTTTGCGGTGAAATCATCCAATACTTTTGTTATCAATGTATGTGCTACTCGTTGTGGATATTCATGGTCGGCTATCAGTACAGCACTTAAACTATCACCACGCACGTACACATGACACATGTAAACATCTTGTTTGACCGACTGTCGAGTTGCCAACTGTGTGCGTTCCACTATCGTTCTGCTTGCAAATCTGAAATGAAGACAAAATTGAATGTCGAATTTTATAATCACATTGGAGCATTCGATAGAACCGTGTCTTAATGAAATGAACACCATACACATACCCAATGAATTCTTGCACAGATCCACGCTGGAAAAATGAGAAACTCTGCAAATCATAGGCCGATTTTAGCAATCTGGCTTCACTGGACCCTTTGTAGAAAACGCTTAACGCAAATAATTTAACCATTGTGAAATATGCTGAATTTTCTTCTGTTTTGTAGCTTCGCTTCAACAGGCAAAAGGCCTCCTCTTGTTATGATTCAAGGAAATTAGTTATCTCAACTCAACACAGTGTATGTGTGTGGTTTCTTTATTCACTGTAAATTTTTCGCAGTGGAATTATTGGAACTAATTGAAATGCTTCGTTCTTGTGCCACTATAATCGACTAAAACACAAATCCAATTCAATAAATTAAATGCAAGCAATATGTTTTTTTTACTTCGTTTTTGGCCCACACCAATTGAACATGTATATATATCACTATTAATAAAGTGGAATTTTTTCTCCGTCACAATTGCTTTGACATGTACACTTCTTACACATAGAGAACAATGACAGCTGTTACAAACAACGCACAAACACTTAAAACCGAGCATTGCACGAATGACCGTCAGGCGGCGCTCACAATACACAAGGCAATTCAAATTTGAACAGAGCAACTGAAAATCGGTTTAAAAACTTACCCGTTTGATTTTGCAGCTCATGTGATTCTTCATTGAAACTATAACCATACGGATCGGCGGTATTGAATGATTCATTTGTTGTCGTACTCAATCCATATGCATTTCCACCGTTGTAACCAAAATTATTTCCACTGTATTGAAATGTATTGGCAAAACATTTGTTGTAATCAAAGCACAGATTCACATGTCTTGTATCGTTGTTGTCATTTAATGTGGATTTTGGGAATTTCGCCACTCTACTTGAGTTCATCAGTAATTCAGATTCATTTTCACAAATTGCACCAAATTCAGTTGTAGTTGAATCAAAGTTCATCTGATTATTACACCCTTGTTGCGACGTTGAGGCGGATGAATCCATAAATGACATTTTTTTTCTCGCTTTGGCAAACTCTTTTTTTTTGACTAAATGAAATTCACAACTTTCTTTTGACAGAGAGAAAAATCGATTGAAAAATCTCTATGATAGTACGAAAGAGTTCACGAATGAAGCAAAGTGTGTTTACTCCAAAAAATCCAAAACATAATTAAGCAAATGAACGGAATTACGTTGAATGCAACGTCATACTCCCACCTAAAAAAATCCAATGAACGCATCTAATATCATTCTAAGCAATCTCCGATTCAAGATAGTTGTGTATGGTTTTTCGATTATTCATTGCTTCTTTCAACTAGATCCACAGTTGCGTCATTTTGTTTGTTATTGCTTTCATGGATAAACAAAGGATATTTTAACATGTTATTGCTTGTATTTTAAGGAGTGTGCAAGTGGAAGGATGACATCCTGTGAAAAAGACTTGCTTCTCTTGGTTCGGAAACAATAGTCGACAAAATCAAAATAAATGGAGGCAATTAGTTTCAGCCTAATAAATATGTCAACACATTAAAAAGAAGAAGAAGAAAAAGTGGAAAAAATACAACAAGTAAACACCAAGCGTATTGACAGATGCACGTGGCTCGCCCCCGGTGCGTAAACGGAACATGTGTAGAGAAAACAACTGGAGGAAAAACCAACATTTTCTTCAGTCTGTTTGACAAAACCAAACACTGTTTGTCAACAAATTATAGCTGCTGTTTCACAACAAACGCGGCCCATTCAATACATCTGACTGTAGTATTTCATTTCCTTATGGACCCATTCAAGTCGATTGGTTCGGTAGCGAGCTATAATGCATATATATATATGCATACATATACAGCCAGCATACTGCACACGAACCTGTGACTGCATGTTATTCCAATTAAGTCAATAATTTCCGCACGCGCGTGTTTGCCGTTCACAACATCTCCGTTGAAACTCAGTGCTTTTGTTCTTTTCCGACCAACCAACCGACCGACCGACAGATCATATCGACAGATGCAATGGGCCGGTAATGCACTTTTCAAATGAGCCATCAAATTATTATGAATTGACTGAAATAAATTTGATCGGTTGTCGAAATGGAATAAAACCATTCTATTTACAGTTTCCGAGTCAGCTGTTAGTATTTAGATGGATTTTGGTGTATTTTCTAAACGTTTGGTCATTTACAGCAGTTAATAAAAGAGTATGATTGATCCAATTTGGTATGTGTGTTTGTATGTTAGCCTCTTTGCCGCGAATCACTTTCCATTCGTACAACCAACGTTATTCCGGCAACAATTGAGTCGTCTAGTTCGAACATTGTTTCCACTCGGAACAAACCATCCGGAATGTATGACGGCTCGGCAGATTTTTCAATCACAAATTTGTAAATATAGAAAATCAACTAAAATGAGATTCATCAATATTCATTTTTGACGAAAAATACAATTGCTTACATCGTTATCGCCTTGGAATCCATGGCAAAGATCTTCGTTTGGATCGTCCGAGTAAAAGTAGTTTGATACAGGCGGTTTGTACGATTTAACACGATACTTTCGATGGCCAGTGCTTGAGAATTCACAATAGGTGACTCGTGGAAAATGAATCGGCACCTTTTCGTTGTGATGATTATCCTCCATTGGATTCACATAGAAACTCAATGAATGCTTGAAAAAAAAGAGTCAATTAGTGTATGTGTGGATAATTTTCGATAGAAGGACGTTAAAAGAAACGTTTTTGGAAGAAAAAAATAAAAAATTGAAGTTTTGGCGCTTTAAAAAAAATCGATTTTGGTGTACAATAGATTTTACCATTTCGATCATTATTTTTTTATAGATACACAACTATGTAATACATTTACTTCGATCTAAATTACACTGACAATATAATTTCTCTCGCTTTTCCCAAATAAATTTCGCTAATCTGTGCATAAAACCAGTGTTCACTTACAAAGTATGCATTCGAATTTCGCTTGAATGGAGATCGAAATGTAACGTTTCCGGTGAGTGCATAATCGGTACGATTGACTCGTTCAACTTCAACATCGAATGTGATTTGGCCTTTACCGGACTTTCGCCTATTATCAACACGTTCGAAAAAGTAATCCCATGAAGCCTGATCCAAAACAAAAGCTCAATGAAATCTTTACTGTGACAAAATTGGGTCCATGTATACATACCAAAATGGGTGTGATGAAAAGTGCAACTGAACAAATGCAAACCAAAAAACGTGTCATCTCGACGAAAAGCAATGAGCGATTGAGCAAAATTACTTGAGAAATTTACCTATTCTTGATTCTTAATTCATAAATTCTCAATGTGATAAGTGCATTGTTTCACACTAAACACTAATAATAAGATGAATTACCGTTGCGATTGATTTAACATTGTCATGCGGTGTGATTTAAGAAAAAAGATCATATCAACGCCAAACACGAAACGATTCACGTTGACTTTCTCCTTTTGACAATTGCATGCTAGCTTCATTAAAGTGGTAACACGAGATGTGGCCATGAAATTTTTTACATCGAAATTAGATACTCATCTCAATGAAACAAAAATTTTGATTCAAAAGCTTGACAATTGGTTGAATCGATAGTGTCAAACTGTATTTTATGTGTTTTAATGATTTTTATAAATAATTAGAAATTTCCCGATTTGTGATGACCATAAAATGGATATGTGTTAACATGCATTGACACAAAAACTGAATGCAATTGAAAACAATTTCGTTTATTTTTATATTTTAAAATTTGTCGGTTCTCAATGATCACGAATTGACACAAAACTTGAGTGCAATTGAAATTAAATTGTTTACACAAACACAAAAATGGTTTTGGTTTATTTTTATCTTGAACTTTAATTAAAAAAGTGTGGTGCAATGAAGAATCAATTAAAACCACAAAACAAATCTTGGAATAAGAAAAAAAAATTAGATTCATCTAAACATCTGATTCGGGGTCGGTTCGCAAATGAAGTATGACACCAGCGATGACTACATCATCCAGATCGATTAGTATTTCCATCTTATACATTCCTTCTTGTACGTATGGCGGCATAACCGATTTATCAATCATAAAATTGTGAACATTGAAAACCAACTGAAACAAAATGTTCAAAAAATTGTGATAAAGCTGTTTGTATTAATTCAAAATCCATCGCCTACATCATGGTCGGATTGAAATGCCTTGCAAAGGTCTTCATTTAGATCGTTCGTGTGAGGAAAGTTTGATACCGGTCTCTTCAATGAATTCATAAAATATTTACGGTAAGAGTTATTAATGTAGAAGCAGAATGATTCTCGTGGAAATTGTGTTGGCAGCCGGTTATACTGATTACTTCCCAAGGCACTGTAGTAGATGTGTGTTGTGTGCTAGATCAAATCGAAACAGAAACAGAAACTGAATAGTATACACGAATTCGATTTACAATTAATTACCATATTAATGACATTATTGCATCAAAGCAAGCACAACACCCAAAACCACTCACATAGTACATGCTGGGATTTCGCGTAAATGCAGACTTAAAAGTAATATTTCCATTTATCACGAAATCGGAACAGTCGGCTCTCTGAACTTGAACATCGAATATGACATATTCTGTGTCTGAGCTATTCAAACTTTCAACGCGTTCGATGGAATAATCCCATGCCTGGAAAAATAGAAAAAAATGTCCGAATACTTTAAAAACTCAACTGAATGTGGTTTATATTCACTGCAATCGGAACGCAGAAGAGAAGTAATAAACTAGTGCCAATCCATATAGGTGTCATTTCAACGGATTTTAACAAACAATTGATCGAATTCAAGCGTTATACCTACTTACTCCTGTTCTGAACAGGAAATAATAATTTTATATAATTACACAGTTCTTCTGTATGTTTTTATCAACAGCAAAATAAAAACAAAAAAGTAGTTGCATTTCACCGATGCAAGTGGATAAAACGTGATGATCATTTCAATTACATGAACTTATCAGTATGGGCGATTTCTTTTTTTTGCATCTGATTTAACCTTTAAAGTATTTGAGTATGCGTAGCTAACTCATTGAAATATAATATTGAAATTGCATGTATGTACGCACACACAATGTTCCTCTTTGATTTGATTTCCAAACAATATAAGATTAATGCATTAAATTTTATTTTATTTTAACAGCTGGACACTTTTATTGAAAAATATACATTAGTGACATTTAAATATTTCTGTAGCTGATATTTTAATACGATTTCGATTTTTTTCATTCAACCAAAAAATCAAAAATCATTTGATTTTCATTTATGTTTTCATTATATTTAGGAACATGTTTCAAAAGACAATAATATGTTCAATTTATTCGGATTCGTTCACTGAAAACCTATGATATAATTGCTTTACTTACTAGCATGATCGATAACAAAATACATGCAAAAAATATGCAAATTTTTCAAAAAATCTGGTTTAAAAATGGTGTTATTATATACAAATGCATTTAAAGATTGAAAATGGTCGAACTTTACGGAAACGTTTGTGTTTGGCAATTGATTGTCTCTGTTAGTTTTTTTTTTTTCAAATATGATTTTCGTTGTCCATTATGCTTGAAGAGAGAACTATTCATAATGTTTTGCTGGTCCGAGAAAGGTACAAGTGGCCAATGTTTGCACACCACAAACGGTGATTTATTGCTTTAACTGTATGTGTTGAAAAGGAAGGAGACAAAACAGAAAATTAGACATTTATCTTTTACATGTCTCTGTGTACGAATATAGTGCTGTTTCATTAATATCATGTACACGATTGAGCAATTCGAATATTATTGATGAACGAAGTTTTGGCATTTTTCGATAAGAGATAATGAAAATAGTTAACATGGACATTCTAAATACTATTTAATTAAAGGAACATTTTAATTAAGAATATTCAAGTGACTTTTGTGTGACATTCGTTCTGAAAATATGTAGTACATTTAACTTACGATTTTCCACTTTCATCACAAATCTTAAATATCAAGCGTTGTCTCCTAACGTTTTTTTTTGTTCATTTGTTTATATTTTGATTACTTTGCAGTCAGATTGTTATTTAAATCTTTTTTCATTGAAAATAGAAAATTTTTGCGCACATCGCGTGCATTTTCTTCCGATACAACTTTTATGGGGACATTCGTTCGCATGATTTTTTTGATGCTGCCACAAGGCATCCTTGGAATCAAAGTTTTGTGCACAACGATCACAACTGTATCGTTTATTGCTCCACATTGTGTCCAAAGCAAAAATTGCGTTCAAATAAAATGGTTATTCCTATTCTGTTCAAACGTCTTTTCACAAAAACTTTGAGAAGAAATTTGTGGTTTTTCTACACGAGCCAATGAAAACTGGATGATTTGAAGGATAAATGCAATTAAATGTGACTTTAAATGAGTATAAAATACAAGGGTTTCTGCCGTTTTTACTCTGTGAACGCTGAAGCCAGACTGTCGAAGCCATTCACACTTCGTAGCATTTCCATTATTTTATTCAGTCCAAAGGAATATTTTCGATTTATTTATGCTGATATATGTAAAAGTCGCAGAAATGTGTTGATTGAGAGAAATAAAAAGATATAAGACAACGCATAGGACACCATGGATTTTAACTCGACTTAAACTTGAAATTCTAGCCGTGAAATATGGTGAATAAACAATTCGCAGAATGAAACGATTCAATGTGATTGCATTAACAAAATGCAACGTTTGTTTCTCAAGGAAAATATACATTTTGCAATAGTACTCATTGGTGTCGCATTGCTTGAACGAGTGCATAATTTTTATTCAACATTTTTGTATTGAATTTCTGGCGAAATGACTTAGACGAATAATTTTGAATTATTCATAATTAGCATCAAATGCTCTAGTTACGCTTCAAATCATAGTCCATGTCAACTCAATGCACTCTGCAATCAACATGGATCTGCCTTTAAGACGTAAAACTTCTCGTCAATTTATCCACCGGTATAAATTGAGCGACGACTTTTGCTGTCCTAGGGTCTCAAATTAAACGCGTAATTAAACGCTTCACATAGCCTTTGTTCCTTTGGAAACGTTTACCAAAGGTTATCATGGACCGTTTGCCATAGACTAATATCAAGCATTTCCATCTTGGTTGTATGACTTTTTTTTCGTTTTCATGTTCCTACTATTGTGAATACCGCATGATGTATGAAAAGAGCCAGGTTTTTAACGAGGCGAGAACTGATAGTTATGAAAAATTATCGCTACTAAATGTTTATTATTTTAAATATGTAACAGTCTTGCACTCTTTTCCGGCCAAACCTTAATCAAAAACCCACATTATATTCAGCCAGAGCTTGGCGGTGTTTATTAAAATAAAATAAAAAATAAAATAAAATAGAATACGATACGAAAATTCCAAAAAATTTCCATGTTTTACTTCAACAAATGAATTTTTCAATAGTAGGTACTTACCAGTATCGAAAATGAAATTAATCGTTCAAATGAACCCTAAACTAATTTCTCTTTCTTTTGGCAGAAGAAGAAAAAAATTAATTTTTCATAGAAAATGGCAAAAAATTAAATCTCCCGGTTCCAGAGCCCGTTAAGCCTCCTCAAGTGTAAAAGCAACACAATGAAAATCATTTGTAAAATGCAATCTTGGATGCTTTTAAACAGTTGTTGAAGTGGAGTTTTTTCTTTTTAGAATCGAAACATGATCAAATTTCCTACTTACATTCTCTTTGATCTCCAAAACCAAATTTTCAATATTTTTCTTTGTTAAAGAGTTATGCTGGTAAAAACAACTACCCTCGTGAATTACTTTTTCACAAACGCCCTAAAGTATGCAATCAGCGCTGTATTCAGCTTAATTTTCCGAATGCAACAATTGGTTGATTCAAAGCGTTCAATACAAAATGCATCGCATCACATCACTGTGAAACGCTAAGTTCGTATACGATCGATAAAGTTCAAAACAAAACAATTATTCTGATAAGAGAGCAAAATTTATGATCAATTTATATTATGATGAAATTAATTGCATTGCGATGGATTACACAATCTTTACAATGAAACTATCGTTAGTCCATAAAATGTTGCGTTAAAAATTTATTGTAAGATTAATGTGTATCAATTGTTTCGTGAGCCTGATTATCGATATGCGGACGAAAAATAAAAATAAAGGGGAAAAAATAGTTTGAAAATATTCTCGGAACTTTTCATTCGAGGGCAATCACACATTTGAAACACACATTCCAGTGTTGTGTCATGTCAGGCCGAACAAACATAACGATTGAAATCATCGTTATCATTGTGAGATGTTCAGCTGTGCTCAGTGCGAGCGCTACTAGTTCTGGAGAGATACTACACGAACCGTTCGAAAAGAGAATCAAGTGGATTGCATAATTTAATTTTCGAAGAGGAAAAAACATAGAAGATGCAATGTATTTTCAAGTGATTCTATTTTTCTCCTAGGGCGCTCATCGGCTGGCATCATCATATCATGCCTTGGCACTTGAATAAAATGCACTTCGGCTGCTTCTTCTCCTCATCATCCTCCACATCAATGCCTAATTGTGTATTTGTCTATTCTTGTGTTGTGTTTTGCTGTTACTTCATAGAATTATTGTTATCAGCGAATCTGTACCTACCAGACGCGTTGAAATCGCGCGTTCATTGTTTACATGCCATGAACGAACAAGACAAAATAAACTGAAATGAAGAATGAAGAAAAAACCATACTAATAGAACGACCGATCGTCGTCATCATCATCATGTTCGTGGCATTTAATGGCGAAAAAACAAAACGGTCGACTCAATTCAAAGGCGCATTGGTCTGGATACTACGTACACTTGAGGAATTTTTATGAATGAATTCCAAACAGAAAGAACAAGATGGTCGATTGTTATTGCACATAGTGTGCGTTGTCTTTCCGTCGGATGTTTGCGTTTCAGGTTCTTGGTTTTCATTTTCTTTTTTTTCATTTTTTCTGTACATGAAAAAGTAAATACCAAAGATGTAGAAAGAGAGGAAACCAAAAGTCCAAACAATCTACACGACAACGAGAAAAAGGAGCAAAACCAAATTCACAGTTTTTTATATGTGAATTCGCTGGTAGCCACAGTGTGATTATATCATCGGGCGAACAAGTTTTTCTGCCACACACAAACCGAAACGAAATTTATGTCTCTTTTTTCTTCTTCTCGGAGTAACTACTCGTTGAATTTTTCTTTTTTTGCTCAAACATTTATGTTTTTTTTCGGACTGAATCATGTGCGAAGGAAGAAAAAGCACGCACGGAAAAATTAATACCGAATTAAAAAAAAAACCCGAGCGAAAACAAGCGTGAGAGATACGAATGTTGGCGGTGAGATAACAAGTAAAATAGTTTGTGCTGAACAAACAACTAACAATGACGCCAATCGTCGAATAAACAGTTATTTTTATTTTATTTCATTCGGTAAAAGAAAAAGTTCGGTTGTTGTGTGGTTGCACCGCAAAATCTGAAATGCTCTGTTTATCCGGCGCAAAAGTATAAACGATTTTCTTTTGATTTCTGTCTTTAGTTTTATTTTGCTTGTACTTTGTATGAAAACAGTCACAAAAATGAAAAAACTACATCCGAATGCCATTTGATATGCTACGCCGAAAAAGAAGAAGAAGAAAAACTCGTGAATCCGCAAAAAAGCGACGGCGATTTGTCGAGTTTTCATTTTTTTTCGGTTGTTCTTGCTGTTGTTGTTAATGATGTTATCTAAAATTAAAATGATGTGTGATTACACGAAAATAGGTATATTGGGTGCAGTTTCCAATGAAACCCTCGTGTGTCGCTGTGGCCGATCTAAATCGATTGTTCCATGTTACCATGTCGAGAAAAAAAACAACAACAAAATAACCACTAAGATTGCAATTTATGATATCCAGACAAAATCTCAATTTGAACAAACGGAACATACAAAATGAATGCGTGTCAATAACCGACACATACACAATATGAATGCTAATGAATATGAACTGAAACATGATCTATATATATATATTTGTGTCTTTTGTATCAACCAATCTAACGCATGCGTTCAGTTCATTTTTTATTATTTGATTTGTTTTATTTATTTTTTTCGTTGTTTTTCGCTCAAGTGCTGGATACTTAAATTCACACGTCGAATTGCGTCACCACGCGCCACACTCACTGGATTCATCGCCGACGCCAATGTGTCCAAAAGCCCACCAATATAACATCAACAACAACAACAAAAACCAATTATTCTTACGGGTTAATCAACTGAAGCGAACCGAACGTACGAAAACTAAATAGGAATGCGAATAAGTATGACATAAGCGCTCTTGTCATTCAAATTTGACATTCTTTTATGAGTTTTTCGGCGAAAAAAGAATAAATCATTGAACCAGCGGGCATTGGAAGGCATGAGAGTTGGTAATTTAATTAGTTTTAGACCGAATATGCAACTCAAATAGAATGATTAAAACGTCGTAAAGTGATGTGTATGTGTGTATTAAGTGCCAAAAGGAAAAAATATAAATAGCAATAATACCATTGAGTGACGCTTATCCAGCCAGCCAGCCAGCCAGCCGGCCGAGTCAAACCAAAAAGCCGATTGCTGTGGGTAATATCAAGTAAATTGCTCGACATTTTACGACCAATGCGTAAATCTTTGAATGCACAACCGAAATAAAAATCTATATAAGTTCCGAATTATACGATCAAAGTTGTATTATACGATCAAAGTCGTTCTGGTGCATGGTCGTTTGAATATGGTCTCGTCGTAACGGTCGTTTTTCCCCAATGAAATTTGTTCGATTCAAAAGCGGGAAACAAATCATGAAATTCACAAAGTCGGTGACGATTTTGACGGCTGTGACAACGACGAGGCCATGAACTGAAGTGCTTTGTCGCTTTCCAAACACAACCGATTCATAAAGAGCAATCACACAAGATTTATGAACCGAACAGCGACCAAAAAAAAGACAAAGAAGAAATGTTGAAAGAGCAAAGCATTCGATTGCAGCCACACAGATACTTACTTTGTTGCAGTAATTAGTTTTGTCAGTTACTCGTTCACTCACTTTCTTTCGACAAAACTATTCAGCTTCCCTTTATCACACATCTGACAACTCGTTCAGCCGCACAATAATTGTCGCATTGTGAAAGAATTTACAATTTCCGTATAATAATTTTTTGTATGCCCCGAACTCAACCTAAGACTATCGCCGAAATTCGTTTATTTTTTTGTTATTTTGCCAGACTTTCGTCTCGACTAATCTATGCTTAATACACCCGAATTAATAGTGATCATCATAAATTTCAAAACAAGCGCGTCCGGCTGATCCAACCGCAGCAAATGGATAATGATTTATTGATTTGTATCATCGTTTGTTAAACTGTTATTTAATATGTCGTTCTTTAAAACAAAATTCATTATTTTCTGCGGTCGTTGTAACTCGTCTTGATTTCCTTGTGCTCTTTGTTCTCTCTGCTGTTTTGTTTGATGCGTCAGCGACAAGAGCCAATGAATACGTTTTAAATTACATGTGTCTGTATTGTTTGATGTGGATGTGGTATAGGCGCCTGATTTTCATAAATAGCAGCACATGCGAACGGATTTTAGTCGTTTAGTGAACTGACTCAAAAAAGAGGAAAGAGACAAAAAGCCAAACAAAAATGAGATACAGTGGAAGAAAAAAACAAACTCAAGAGGAAGAACGGCAAACCGAATGTACACAAAAATGATATGTTTACAAATTGATTTATTATGTGACAATC